ATTGGTTAAAACTCTTAATTATATGCAATAAGAACATAAGAATACAGCATCAAAATCAAATTGTACTACAGCCATCTTCAATCTTGACTTTACTATAAAATAAAACAAATATATCATACTCTAAAACTTGAAAAAAGATGCATAAAATCAGTGTTTTAATAACACTATCCACCAGATAAGATACCATTATCATAACATAACTAAGTGTTTAACATTGCACATAACTCTTAAAACATCTTTATTGTTATTGCAATAAGTGTACAACACTTGATAATATAAATAATGGTAACTGGGTAACATATATAATAAATAAGTGTTATATTGGATAACACTTGGCTATAAAATACATGTTGATATCAGTTTATAATAAATAACATAATAACACTTGACCAGATGTTTAAAATATTCTCAATCAATAATACTAAATTAAATAAACAGTGTTATAACATCATGTTATATATCACTTGACAACATGTTTATAATATTTTCAGTTGATAACACTATGAAATAAACAGTGTTATAACATCATGTTATATATCACTTGACAACATGTTTATAATATTTTCAGTTGATAACACTATGAAATAAACAGTGTTATAACATCATGTTTAATATCACCTGACAACATGTTTATAATATTTTCAGTTGATAACACTATGAAATAAACAGTGTTATAACATCATGTTATATATCACTTGACAACATGTTTATAATATTTTCAGTTGATAACACTATGAAATAAACAGTGTTATAACATCATGTTTAATATTACTTGACAACATGTTTATAATATTTTCAGTTGATAACACTATGAAATAAACAGTGTTATAACATCATGTTATATATCACTTGACAACATGTTTATAATATTTTCAGTTGATAACACTATGAAATAAACAGTGTTATAACATCATGTTTAATATCACTTGACAACATGTTTATAATATTTTCAGTTGATAACACTATGAAATAAACAGTGTTATAACATCATGTTATATATCACTTGACAACATGTTTATAATATTTTCAGTTGATAACACTATGAAATAAACAGTGTTATAACATCATGTTTAATATCACTTGACAACATGTTTATAATATTTTCAGTTGATAACACTATGAAATAAACAGTGTTATAACATCATGTTATATATCACTTGACAACATGTTTATAATATTTTCAGTTGATAACACTATGAAATAAACAGTGTTATAACATCATGTTTAATATCACTTGACAACATGTTTATAATATTTTCAGTTGATAACACTATGAAATAAACAGTGTTATAACATCATGTTTAATATCACTTGACAACATGTTTATAATATTTTCAGTTGATAACACTATGAAATAAACAGTGTTATAACATCATGTTATATATCACTTGACAACATGTTTATAATATTTTCAGTTGATAACACTATGAAATAAACAGTGTTATAACATCATGTTTAATATCACTTGACAACATGTTTATAATATTTTCAGTTGATAACACTATGAAATAAACAGTGTTATAACATCATGTTAAATATCACTTGACAACATTTTTATCATATTTTCAGTTGATAACACTATGATGTTGGCTAACTTGGTTGGTAACACTTAAATATAATATAATATTTCATAACACTTGCCATACTCATACATGCCATGCCAGTTAAATATTAAAGGGACAGGTGCACCATTCACTAGACCAATCGTACCTTACTCTCAGAAATGGGTACTTTCTAACTAAGCCAATCAGTTATAGTGTTCAAAGCTCAGTGTTGAGTGTTCAAATCTATGTGTTTCCAGAACTATCCGTGTTTGAAAGTTAAGATGCCAACTCATCAATTTAAAATACTCTGTGATATATAAATAATATATATTTAGAAATAGTCAGTAAAATTCCTTATTTGAGATATATCTGTGAAGGAATTATGAAATTTTTGTACATTTCTAGTACTTCTGAAGACTATTTACATATAAACAGGACCCAAATCATCGTCCGAAAATGGCGAACATATCCCTTTAACTAACACAAGTATTAAAAGTTCCAAATATTCATCAAATATTCCATTCTATTCCTAAACTACTCTGAGATCAAAAAAATAATTATGCTGTAAACCTTAGCAATATGAAAACTTCATTTAAATCATCCTAATACTTAAAAAAAAAATAGAAATTTACACAATTACAAAATTACACAATTTATACCAGAGCAGCCAGTAAATTACACAATTTATACCAGAGCAGCCAGTAAATTACAAAATTTATACCAGAGCTGCCAGTAAATTACACAATTTATACCAGAGCAGCCGGTAAATTCCACTATTTATACCAGAGTGACCGGTAAATTACACAATTTATACCAGAGCAGTTGGTAAATTACACAATTTATACCAGAGCAGCCGGTAAATTACACAATTTATACCAGAGCAGCCGGTAAATTACACTATTTATACCAGAGCAGCCAGTAAATTACACAATTTATACCAGAGCGGCCGGTAAATTACATAATTTATACCAGAGCGTCCGGTAAATTACACAATTTATACCAGAGCAGCTGGTAAATTACACAATTTATACCAGAGCAGCCAGTAAATTACACAATTTATACCAGAGCAGCCGGTAAATTACACAATTTATACCAGAGCAGCCGGTAAATTACACTATTTATACCAGAGCAGCCAGTAAATTACACAATTTATGCCAGAGCGGCCGGTAAATTACATAATTTATACCAGAGCGGCCGGTAAATTACACAATTTATACCAGAGCAGCTGGTAAATTACACAATTTATACCAGAGCAGCCAGTAAATTACACAATTTATACCAGAGCAGCCGGTAAATTACACAATTTATACCAGAGCAGCCGGTAAATTACACTATTTATACCAGAGCAGCTGGTAAAGCGGCTGTTACCATGTTATGTTACATAACATTAAGTTACATTACATCAGGGTATATGATATTTTATACACTCAGAGTACCAAGGGTTAAGAATATATGGTTTTAAAATAAATAAATAAAAAGTAACATTTTGGCCATCTTTCATGTTATATTAGTAATTGCTTTTAAAATTGAAATTTAAATCAAGAATTGAAGCTCAGACATATGTTCTAGAACAGGGTTTCTCAATTAATAAGCTCAAGTGCCACTTTCATTGTTTGGAATTGCTAAAGTGCTACATAGTTTGATTTTAAAAGAAAAATGCCAATATCAATTGATTTGAACCACAAAAAGAATGATAATCTCTCCAGAATCCTTTGAATTTTACAATACGTTTGTCATTTTCACACAAAATATATGTACAACAAAATGATGTATAGTCATTAATTTATTTGTGCACATGCAGGGATAGTTCAAAACACACACAGACACAGTCCACTTTATTTCAAGGTAGTTTAAGTAGTTATGAACACATTATAAGTTTTGATTGTCATTTTCTCTACCTCAAACTAAATGGACTGTTGGTGTTTGTGTTTGGAACAGTACCAGGGTATGGTATGAAAGCAGGTATATCACATTCAAAATTTGCCCATCTCCGCCATTTCTAATTCTGTCTGCACCTACTATTTTTCCGGCAAAGTGGAATGCGATCTGAATCTTGTTTTATTGAACATTCTGTTGATTCCATAAATCCCGCAAATGCAGACCTCATCAATCGAGCGGCCACTAGATATGCACAAATATCTTTGCAAGAATGTACATCACAGGCATTTTGATCATGGAATTTTAACATTCACAAAAGATAGAGAATTCCAAGGAAAAACAGTAAGTCAGTAAAAGTTTAAATTTCTACAGGAATAATGCCTTCAAAATACGAAGTACATAAAATAGCTTAAATAGGGCTTGAGAATAGTTTCTGGAAAATACTGTTATGGTTTTATATGTTGTGAAACACAATCCTGTCCCATGACAGCACTGGACAATCCATCATAATCATTTCTTATATTGTCTCTCAATAGTAACAGAATGGAATGGAGTTTTACTCTCTACTTTCCAGCACCTTTTTTGGCTGCAGACATAGACTATTTTGGAGGATAGCATAGTTTAAATGAGAATACTGTCCAGATTAAGGAAAGTTATACTGCAATTCCATTTTGAATGATAGCATAGTTTATAAGTTAAACTCCTATTCCATTTTGAATGATGGCATAGTTTATAAGTTATACTCCATATTTCATTTTGAATGATGGCATAGTTTGTAAGTTATACTCCATATTCCATTTTGAATGATGACATAGTTAATAAGTTATACTCTTATTCCATTTTGAACGATGGCATAGTTTATAAGTTAAACTCCTATTCCATTTTGAATGATGGCATAGTTTATAAGTTATACTCCATATTCCATTTTGAATGATGGCATAGTTTGTAAGTTATACTCCATATTCCATTTTGAATGATGGCATAGTTAATAAGTTATACTCTTATTCCATTTTGAACGATGGCATAGTTTATAAGTTAAACTCCTATTCCCTTTAGAATGATAGCATAGTTTATAAGTTATACTCCTATTTCAGTTTGGATGGTGGCATAGTTTATAAGTTATACTCTTATTCCGTTTTGAATGATGACATAGTTTAAAAGTTATACTCCTATTCCATTTTTGATGATGGCATAGTTTAAATGGAATACTGTCTGGATTGAGAATAGTTTATAAGTTTTACTCTTATACCATTTTTGATGATGGCATAGGTTAAATGGAAAACAGATTAAGATTGGTTTATAAGTTATACTCCTATTCTATTTTTGATGATGGCATAGTTTAAATGGAACACAGATTAAGAATAGTTTATAAGTTATACTCCTATTCCATTTTTGATGAGGGCATAGTTTAAATGGAACACAGATTAAGAATAGTTTATAAGTTATACTCCTATTCCATTTTTGATGATGGCATAGTTTAAATGGAACACTGTCTGGATTAAGAATAGTTTATAACTATAAGTTATTCTCTGATAGAGTGAGTAAAAGTAGCGTCATTTGGGAATGTCACGTGAGGTTTCAACCTCCACCAGTGCCTGGATTGACCTCACTGATCTTATCCTGGGGTAAATATGGATAATAAATTGTCTCTGAACCAACTAAATATATATTTCTTTTCATAAAATAATACCTGAAAAATACAAAATTAGAAATTTATGGAGTTTTACGTCCTACTTTTCTGCACCATATGGGTTAATGAAGATTGGTTACGCCATGCAGGGTGCAATGAGGGAAATTTTGCTAGGACAGCGGCATTAGCCTGCTCGTTTTCGATTTCCAACTGTCAAGGGATCTTTAATGTGCACAGCCTGTAGCACACATGGCCTCGAACGACTAGGCACTTTTTCTATGTCAGCCCCTCTTACCTAAATCACTGACAGGGGGAAACCAGGTTGAAAAATCTGAAGTTATAATCTCGACCTGTGCCAGGATTGAACCCGGGACCTTCAGGTTGGCGAGCATGCCTCTAACCCACTGAGCCACCACAGCTCTAGGTTCTAGGTTGAACCCTAGACCTTCAGGTTAGCAAGTAAGAGTCAGTAACTCACTGAACCAGTAGAGGATAATACTCATTACTTTCAAAATGACTAAACTGTCTCTGAAGTCAATAAACTGTTTTTTTAAAAAGATTATTGGTACTCACCTAAACAAACCTTTATGTAAATTTCTAGGTGGATATTTGTCTGGGACATAAAAACCAAAACATTTAATTAATTTATTCAATAAGGTGTAATCATGGGTATGATCTTGTTTGTAAAATACTGAGATTGGTGTACTGAAAAATACAGGGTTTTAAAAAAATATCAACATATATGGAATAAAGCTTAATTAACAACTAGTATGCTGACTTTTTAATTAACCCTTTTTTAAAACAAATTCAGTTTGATCAATTAGATACATAGATATAAATAGCATATTTTAGAAATATTTTCGGATATAATTTACAACGATTTTTGATAGTGAAAATTTTGCATACTGCCCCTGTAAGATGATTTTAGTTTTTTAGTTATTTGATTGGTCAATTACTAAAATTCAATATAAATTAGTTTTATTATCCAATCAGATTACTGTATTTCTAATTTGGATTAGTTTTCCAGAATAAAACCCAGTTACTTCAGATAGGGTCTAAGGACAGCCCATTCTAAGGACATTCGTCCTCTTCTGACCTAACTCCGCTTTAAATAATCAAATTTCTACCCTCTCCAGCGCTGGCATTTTGTGATGTGGAGTTTATGAGGTAGGTCAAAAGGTTAATTTGACGAAAATTCAAGAGAGCTGTTGTAAGACCCTAACTGAAGTGGCTATATTAAAAATAAAAGCTAATATTAAAAGCTAATGTCTTTATACTTACCCTTGTGAAGATTGGTTGAATTCTTTAATGAACCCTCCAGATTGATAACACAGTGTAATTTCACCAGGTAAAACAACAATTGATTGTTTTAAATCATCTACTATTAATTCTTCATACGCTGTGTTAGTTAATTTATTCATCCCGGTTAATAAAACATCACTTTGTCTGTAATTATATTCATATTTCATTTAAGAAAAATAATTTGTTACTTTCCTTTAAGGCCTAGGTTTTTAACCACAGGGACAATCGCACAAGGTGGAGACATTTGCACTTTTCTTTGGGGACATTTGATGTGTCACAGCCAGTCATAGACTGTGAAAAATAAAAACTCTCCAACTACAATATATATAACATCTCATATGATGACTACACTATACACAGTCTAAATTAACATAGTCTAAGAGTACTCAGAGAATTAACATTATCAAACTATGTGAGAATGTGCCTGGTAAGCAATATTCATGCTGATTCTATTTGTGGACACATACAAAAACAGGTTGAAAACCACTGTTTTAAATGACTGTTTTAGATTCCCCATTTTCAATCAATCGTGCCATAGTCTCAGAAGCAGTAATTTTTAAGCTAAGCCAATCAGTAATAGTGTTCACAGCTCATCATCCAAATTTCAGCCTTCAATGTATGTCACGAATTATCGGCGTTAGAAAGTTAAAAAGACGACTCGTCTTTTCTTGAGTCTCTTCTATATAGAAAAGACATCTATAAAAATAGAAAGTGAACTGTCTAGTTTGAGATATTTTTGAAGGAATTAAAACTTACAAATTAGCTACTCTTGGTCTGTTAAATATTGCTTGTATATATTCATCTGTATTTCCTGCACCTTGAATAGCCTGTCTAAATACTCGCGATACATCAGGTACCAACATCTCTCCTTCTAGTTCAGGTTTAACATTCCAACCTATCCATACTCTGGAACAAAAGAATGGACAAATGAATGAATGAAAAATTTGAATGAATGAATGAATGTGTTAGTGAATTTTTAAGCAGTAAATGAATGGATGGAAAGAACGTAATCATTGAATAATAAATGAATAAGATTACAGTATTGGAAGAAGAAAGTGATAAAACAATGAAGAAATAAATGAATGAATGAATGCCAAATTAGGCTATAATTGAAATTTGAATATATCCTTTTAAGGGATTGTAAAGAGGTTTTCAGATTTTTTATGTATATCCTGGACACCATTATTATTCTTCATTTCTGCCTGAATTAGACTGGAGGAGCAATAGTGCAATAGTGCAATAGTGCAATAGATAGATAGATAGATAGATAGATAGATAGAGAGATAGAGATAGAGATAGATAGATAGATAGATAGATAGATAGATAGATAAATAAATAATAAAATAAATATATAAATAAATAAATAAATAAAAAATTAAATGAATGAATGAATGAATGAATGAATGAATGAATGAATGAATGAATGAATGAATGAATGAATGAATAAATACCTGTGTGTACAACATGTTTTGAAGTTTTGTGGCTCTATCAATAATTTTAAAGCTGATCTTTTCATCATGAAGCCCAGACCTGGAAATTCTTCTACTCGATACATTAAAGAGTTGTTCCCACTTAACTCATCATATCCTGAAGAAAATATATACAGTGATATAAGTTTTTCATTGGCCTCAAATTTTGAGGATTTTTTGGAAGCATGTTCACTGTGATGTATATTTTTGAATCTGTGGTGTCATAAATATACAAAAGCATCACTGTATAATCATAAAACTAAGTTATTATTGAAAACGCTTCAAAAATTATAACAGTTTTTCAATAATAGTCTTGTAGTTTTATAAATAATTACTAATGGTTTTATGAAAAACAACTTTCAGCATATGAATAGTTACCTGTAGTTTTTTGAATATTTACTTGTAAATTTATGAATAATTACTTTTAGTTTTATAAATAATAACTTGTAGTTTTATGAATAATTACTTGTACTTTTATGAATTTTATAAATAATAACCTTTAGTTTTATAAATAATAACTTGTAGTTTTATGAATAATTACTTTTAGTTTGATGAATAATTACTTGTACTTTTATGAATAATTATCTGTAGTTTAATGAAAAACAACTTTTAGCTTATGAATAGTTACCTGTAGTTTTATGAATATTTACTTGTGGTTCTATGAATAATTACCTGTAGTTTTATAATTATTTGGTTAAGAATTATCAGATTTTAGAGGTATTCTGATGTATAGGTAAGTCCACTGATGAATATTGAATATACTGGCCAAGTTTGAGAATTTTAAAGTTTTGTTCATTCTATTGGTTTAGTTATAATTATTGATGTGAACACATCATGAATAGAGATGTAGTCAGATTCAATAGCATGAAATCATCATACAAAAGATAGAAATAAAGAAATGAAACACTTACCATTGATATTCCAGGCTGAGACTCCAATAAGAGATTCATCCATTCCTAAAGTTTCTACACATTGGGACATAAAATTCAAGAAATCTGCTGTCAGTAATAAATCTTCTTCTAACACTATAAAATAATCCTGAAATAAATTAAGTTTAAAAAACATTTAATTTCTGTACAAGTTTAGAAATCTACAATTTCATCATTATTCCACTAAAATAGGCAGCAAATGGGTTGGAATAATCTGGTAAAGATCAATGCTAAGAAGCAGCTGTTAGGAAATCTAATGATCTTAGATAAGCCATTATTCCAGTCAACTAATTAACCTGAAAAATCATAATCATATATATTACCAAGAGGCTTGCCACAGAGTTGATATCCTTCGTTTTTTTTGCCCTGATTCTTTAAAGATCTAAATGCTACTTCTGTTACCTCGCTGGCATTCTATTGGAGAGTTCTATTGGATCTGTTTCACTTCTGCCCTCAATTGAATGGGTATGGAAGATGAATATGTTACATTAAAAATTTTACCATCAGTTACCTTCCCCGCCATTTTGAATTCTGTCTGTGCTTACTATTTTTTTGGCCCATAAGGGATGCAACGTTCAACGTGTTTTATTGCTCACCAATCGAGCGCCACCCTTATCATTTTTCAGAATGAAGTCAGATAAGACATAATCAGTATGTTCTTCAGACATCTTTCTTCAATTTCACAAAAAATTCAGAAAAAAACACTCTGCTTCCATTAATCTACTTTAATCCTTTGCCAGAATGTCATTTTGTAAAGAGCTACGTTTAGCTTATCTAACAAGGAATTAAATGTGTCCAAATCAACCACAGAGGAAGAACAATTATAATAACATGTACCTTCTCAGGGAATAATCTTAAACCAGCTGAAATAGCTTTCATCACTTGATCTACAAAAAAATATTATTTTTATTAGAAGGAGCAAATACTTCTTCAATAAGGCAAGTGCCATTTTCCGTCACTTTATTGGAGAGTTCTGAAGAGATTCAGTCTGTTCCAAATCTCTGTTCCAAATCATGTCACACTCAAAATTTGCCCATTTATATCCTTCTCCGCCATTTTGAATTCTGTCTGCACCTACCATTTTTTCAGCAAAAGTGAAATGCGTTCTGAACTTTGTTCCAATTTATTTTATTGAATGTTCTGTTGATTCCATAAATCCCAAATGTGTCAAGCTAACCAATTGTGAGGATTGATAATTTAAGATATGTTATATTTCTGGGTATTCAAGACTACCAGATATGGAACGATGTTTATTGTATATATTACCTTGATAACGAAGACTACCAGGTATAGACTGGTTTTGAAATTTGAACAATCCAGCCAGTTCCCCATACTCTGGAAACTTTTCATCCCAAAATATCTGCAAAAATGCAATATTCAATAATGTAGATTAGGTAGCAATCAAGGTATTGGACTAAGGCCCACATTGAAAACCTGAAGTTGAGAAGTACATGATGCAAAATCCTTGAAATTCACAAAACGAATGTGTGTTATGCGTTTCGAAGAAAATTGGGAAGGCAGCTGCCTCTTCTTCAGGGTATGTCACCTCCTGGGATGACAAAAAATAGAATTTGGCCAAAATGAGTCTTTGTTCATCAGGGGATTTACCTGGTTTCAAAACTATACGACAGAATCCCTCTATAATCCAATAAATCTATAAAACTAAGTTATAATCCATTAAACTTAGTGGTGTTTTTCAGTAACTACTTAGTTCAATGGATATATTGTCTTATATAGATATTCTTTTCTTTAATCACGGCACCTGGTAAGTCCAACTGATGAATACTTACTGAAATTGTTCATTTTAAGCAGTGATATTACTTTCAGTCTAGGCCCAAGTACTTTATTCAATATGAGCTCAACAACAAATACAATCAGAATATCTGATTACTGACAAAAGAATATCTGCAATGGTGAAATCCATCCTATAATGAATAATTATAATATAGTCTTACCGTGACAAAGTCTGTATTGATACCTGGTTGCATCAATGTTGTTTGTAGAGTTCTAACTAGAGCATTGTGATTCATACCTGTAATATTATTAGTTTATACATTGATAAAGAGGTGAATGTGGATTCAAAGGAAGAGTCTCATTTTAACATTCAATCGTGGATACTTCTGGACACACATGGATTTGAAGGCTCAAATTTCGATAGTCAGTTGTGAAGACTATTACTTTTTGGCTTAGCTAAAAAATTCCAGTTTCTGAGACTAAGGTACAATTGGTAAAAAAAATGGGGCACCTGTCCCTTTAAGAAGAAATAATTATACATTACCTACCTGGTATAATAAGTATAGGGGTAGAGTATATTTTATTAGTCTCTAATTGCTGACTCAGTATCTTTACTGGGGTGATAATATCATCAACATGGGCCGCTGGAACATATCATATCAAAATATAAAAAAATGTCCATGAGATAGACTGTAATCAACATCACAAATCAAATCAAAATATATCAATTACTTAATTGCTATATACTGAGATGCGAATTAATTAATTAACATTTAAATTGATTTGAAAATTTTAAATTCAAATTATACCAGTCTTAAAATGCTTCAAATTTGAGTCGGTTTATCAAGCCAAGATATTGCATGAATTACTAATGTATTTTCCTTCAGTGGTCAGATAAAGTTAGCAAAAAACCCATAATATATTTCAGCACGACATACAAGATAAAAGTTTTTCAAACATTCTAAATGCTATCCTAAAATTGTTGCCATTTGTGCACAGAAACAAAGGTTACTACAGAAAATGATTCTCAACTAAAGTCTGCTCTCAAATGACAACTTGACAAAAAAAGACTTGATAAAATTGACTTGACAAAAAAGACTTGACAAAAAAAGACATGACAAAAAAAGATTTGACTTAAAAAGACTTGACAAAAAAGACTAGACAAAAAAGACTTGACAAAAAAGATTTGACATAAAAAGACTTTGACTTGACAAAAAAAGACTAGACAAAAAAGACTTGACAAAAAAGACTGAGCTAACTTACGATCACAGAGTTCATAATATCCTTTATATTTTTTACAGAATCCTCTTCTTTCATCATTTCTATGGACTTCAGGATCAGGAATAATCTGTCTTCCAGTTACTACAGGGGGGTAGAATCGGTACCAAATTATACTGATAATCATTCAAGATGTGCTTACTACCTTGACATCTTTTCGCACTTTTCTTGCAGGACTGAAGTTTGTAAGAATTTGATTGGATTGTACACAAGCGAATACAGCCAATCAGTGCCCCCAACCTAAACAATCAGCCATAATGTTTACTGTTGAGGATTCTGATTGGCTATATCTGCGTACAATTCAATCAAATCGCTCCATTCAGTGATACAAGAATAGTATCTAATGATGTTAAGGAATTAGAAACAGTAATAGCTTGACATTGTTTGTGGGGCAATGGGAGATGGCAAACTCCATCCATTCTTAATAAGGAACATTTTGCCAGCAAAATACTATTAGAACACTCTTTTTGCCATGTCTTACGGTGGAGAATCTTTCCTTTGCTTGCATGGACTTGAAGCATTATTGTTTTATCTATATAATTCATCCTAGGCCTATCCATTAGGGAGAATCACACCCTCCCTTCCCCAAAAAGTAATGCAATGTTGTCTGAGTGCTGCATTTTATTCATTCATTATATTTAAAGATTTGAAAAATTTATCGATAAAAGAAAAATAAAATAATCTTACTTTTCTTTGGTACACAAAAGGAATTCTCTAAAGCTTTTGGCCATTCTCCATCTACACCAGCATAGCTTATCTACAAATAAAAAGATTAGTTAAATGTAAAATAGAACACATTGGGGTTATAGGGCATATATGCTGTGTGTAGGGAACATTTTACCCTAAACTGGACTTGTTAAAGATGGGTTTCCTTGTTTTTTTAGTATCAAATTAATCTATTTGATTAATTGGTGTTTCTGATGAATTATCATGTATGTTCTTATTGCATATAATTGAGAGTTTTAACCAATCATAAATGTCCATGTATGCACAGTCTGGATAAACAAAAAAGACTTTTTGATCGGTAACTCATTGGAATTCTGCTGGTAATCATCTTCTAATTTAGCTAATTATGAATTAATTATGTACATGTGAGGCAAACTGGTATTTTTTTTAGTCATTAGAACACCTTTACTTCCTATTCATATAATTATTAGCATTTTCATTTTCATAAATGAAAATAAGGGAACCCATCTTTAAATTTGAGCAAAAGTGAGGCCATAATCTGGCAAGATTTTCTGGAATTTCATGTCCCTGAACAGTCAAATGGGATATCAGAATAGTGCAAATGGATGTTTTAAGTGTATACTCAATGCTCATATAAATATTACGACTGTAGGAAATTACCTGTTCATATGTTGTGAAACCATTAATTCCATTCTGACCGATAAAATACCAAACATCTCGGAATTTCAGGTTCTGTATATGACCGCTTCCTAGTTTATTTAATAATTCTTTAGCTGGATGACTTAATCTACACATGGAAAAGAAATGCTATTAATGAGATGTTCCAATAAAACCAATTTGATGTGTTATCAAACATTAACTGTCCACTGACAGCTTAATACTTTGTAGAATAATACAATATTTGAGAAAATTTGGAGAAGTTTGAAACAATGTTCTACGATTTTATTTTCATAAAAATAATAAAATAAATCATTATATTCTTAATGACAATGTAGGAACCACAATAACTAAGTGAAAAGTGCCAATGATATCGATCTTACTTTCTGGAGGCCTCGTCTCTGACTACAGCTATCACAATATCACCTTTATTTAGTGATTCTAAAAATACTTCTAAATCAGTACTGTCTACAATTACATCAAATATATCATACATTAAATAAGCATCATCCATTTACATACAAAACAATCTAGAGCAATCTGACATGTCAATTATCACAAATACTTCTTTTGTTAAACAGACATTTTATTATGAGTCTCTTAAAGAGATTGTTAAGATTCTACATCACATGATACACTTTGATTGGTTCAAACTAACATCAGTAGAACAGGATTGTAGTAGAAAACGTGTTAGATTACAATGATGTAGAAAATATCAGAAAACAGTAACGTATTTTAAGTAGAATGTTTCTTACCATAATTATAAGTATCAACATGAATGGTAGCTGTTGGTTGTAGATGTACAGAATCTATAACTAATACATTAAAACCTCTACCTCCTTTATTCAGCGCATCACTCATCATTCTAGAAACATTGCAGAATTTATATTAGAAACTGTTCTACAAGGTCGCTTTTCAATTTGTGCTCAGATTTTGAAAAAAGGACACTCACAAAAAACACTCTGAAAATTTGGATGAATGTGCAACTAACGACTTGAAAATTTTTTGTTGCCAAGGAGAATCTGGAGTAAAATCTCCCATGCGGTGACGCTTTCACCACATGATTAGCGCTTTGAGGACAGAATTTTGAACATCAAACATGTTTGATATTTGTCAGTGATTTTAGTTTTGTGGGCATTTGTTTGCTTTGCATGCCCGCACTCAGAACGAGGCAAGACTCTTGATCATCCAACATATCAGAGTCATTCTATATTCATTTCATTACGGGTTAAATATAAAAGTCACATGACACTTCTATCACATGACCATCAACTAAAAATAAGCCCAAAATGGCCAACTGGAGATTTTCTGTCCTCTTGTGTGCCCTTGTCTGTCGTTGTCGGCGACAAAATAGTTCCTGTGCCCCTTGTTTAAGCCACTCTTGTTAGTGATGCAAGCATTACATTGCCAAACGACATGCCATAACTAATCAATGATCATCATGAACTTGTTATGAAGTTGTTATGCTTGTAAAAAAGGTTGTTTTTTTTTCTTTTCTCAATTTCAGACTTGGCATAGGTTTCTTAGCATAATGTTACTGAAGTCAAACAGTATACTTACACATGTCCATTAACACAGATTTGAAATGATATTTTATCAGATTGTCCTGTATCAATACGAACAGGGAAACTGTCAGCCTGACATACTCCCTCGTAACCACAGTTTAATAATACTTCACCCATACTAATCTCTTGTTTATATAATACATCTGGTAATAATAACTCTACACTGTGTTGTTCTCCCACTGTTAATATAAATATAATACAATCAGATGATATGATATATCAGTGTATCGACGTACCGTGATACGACATGCAACGATACATGTATCGTATTGAAAGGTCATACTTGATGATACCTTTTTATTCCTTAAAAAGTGGCAGTTTTTATAAGCAGCCATACAAGAAAATAGAATAAATTCATCCAATAGGGTAGTTCTGGCATGTAATATATATGTGTATCGTATCGACAGGTCCTGTATCGATACTTGATGTTACATCTTATTCCTTAAAAAGAGGAGATTTTATACAGAATCACCAAATTTCTTACTGATTTGACTGAATTTGTTGGAAACTATTTATAAACAGTGGACATTAACCACTTCCATCAACAACATTACCAAATATCACAGTTATAAAGTTATAAATTAATATATATAGTAACTATTTATAAACAGTGGAAATTAACCACTTCCATCAACAACATTACCAAATATCACAGTTATAAAGTTATAAATTAATATATATAGTAACTATTTATAAACAGTGGACATTAACCACTTTCATCAACAACATTACCAAATATCACAGTTATAAAGTTATAAATTAATATATATAGTAACTATTTATAAGACAGTGGACATTAACCACTTCTATCAACTATATTACCAAATATCACAGTTATAAAGTAATAAATCAATATATATAGTAACTATTTATAAGACAGTGGACACTAACCACTTCCATCAACAACATTACCTAATATCACAGTTATAAAGTTATAAATTAATATATATAGTAACTATTTATAAGACAGTGGACATTAACCACTCATCAACTATATTACCAAATATCACAGTTATAAAGTTATAAATTAATATATATAGTAACTATTTATAAAACAGTGGACATTAACCACTTCTATCAACAACATTACCAAATATCACAGTTATAAAGTTATAAATTAATACATATAGTAACTATTTATAAGACAGTGGACATTAACCACTCATCAACTACATTACCAAATATCACAGTTATAACGTTATAAATTAATATATATAGTAACTATTTATAAGACAGTGGACATTAACCACTTCTATCAACTATATTACCAAATATCACAGTTATAAAGTTATAAATTAATATATATAGTAACTATTTATAAAACAATGGACATTAACCACTCATCAACTATATTACCAAATATCACAGTTATAAAGTTATAAATTAATATATATAGTAACTATTTATAAGACAGTGGACATTAACCACTCATCAACTATATTACCAAATATCACAGTTATAAAGTTATAAATTAATATATATAGTAACTATCTATAAGACAATGGACATTAACCACTCATCAACTACATTACCAAATATCACAGTTATGAAGTAATAAATTAATATATATAGAAACTATTTATAAGACAGTGGACATTAACCACTTCCATCAACAACATTACCAAATATCACAGTTATAACGTTAAGAATTAATATATATATAGAAACTTTTTATAAGAGCAGTGGACATTAACCACTCATCAACTACATTACCAAATATCACAGTTATAAAGTTATAAATTAATATATATAGAAACTATTTATAAGACAGTGGACATTAACCACTTCTATCAACTATATTACCAAATATCACAGTTATAAAGTTATAAATTAATATATATAGTAACTATTTATAAAACAATGGACATTAACCACTCATCAACTATATTACCAAATATCACATGTATTAAAGTTATAAATTAATATATATAGAAACTATTTATAAGACAGTGGACATTAACCACTTCTATCAACTATATTATCAAATATCACAGTTATAAAGTTATAAATTAATATATATAGTAACTATTTATAAGACAGTGGACATTAACCACTCATCAACTACATTACCAAATATCACAGTTATAAAGTTATAAATTAATATATATAGTAACTATTTATAAGACAGTGGACACTAACCACTCATCAACTATATTACCAAATATCACAGTTATAAATTAATAAATATTGAAACTTTGAAGATAAAGTGCTAAAAACTTACAAGGAATATCAAAACAACCAGCTTTCTCTACATAAGGGGCGAATGCTGCATTTCTTTTCTTTACTACCTAAAATTTAAAAGCAATTACACAAAACACAGAAAAATGTTCAAAGACACAAATCTGAACTCACAGGAGCAATGGCGTGGTCTAAGAGGCCTTAAAGATGGGTTCCCTTATGTTCATTTATGAAAATGAAAATGCTATTACTTTAAAGTTTACTTAAAATTAAACAAATGGCAGACAAATTTTTGTGATAAAAGGAAACTGCTTAATGATGTCAAGGTATAAGACTGTTTGTAATAGCTCGATATTGTCAAGATGGATGGTTTGGAGACTTGGCTCAGGTCTCTAAATCAATTACTTGTGACAGAATGATTAGTCATCCAACTTCTCTGAACATTAGAACAGAGATGTGACACAAATAACAAACTTGATAAATAATCAAAATCTTTTAAAACCATAAGTAACTTACAAATTCAACAGCCAGTCCTTCATTCAAGCCACGTTGTCCTACCATTACAAATCCTTCACGATAACTAAGATCAGTTACAGCTTTACTACCATACAACTTTAACCACCTTCTACTATCTTCTTTTAAACTACAAACAGGCAAATCTTAGTCACGCCTCCATTTTGAGACACTCAAAGCGAGGTTCATAATGCAAATTACATCATATGAATGAATAGCCTACGTGACATCACTGAACGCCTGATAAACAGAGAAAATGGGCTTTATTCTGCCCTTTCTCAAAAATGTCTCAAGGTAAAATTCATCTGAAAGTATCCCTAAATAGCATAATCAAGTCCAATTTTAATGATGTCAAATTAGTTTTGCGTTACTAGGACTGAAAAAGGAGGCTTTAATGATGTCGAGGTGGTGATTTTATTGCAGTGCCACCATGTTGCCTTTGTTTGCGTTATCAGCCTCATTCTTGATGGCCAATGAGTGAATATACTGATTATTAAAGGGATTGTAAACGCAACTAAAAACGTGTAAATTGTGGTCAATATTGCCAAGAACTCAGCAATATCCTACTCCTTAGCCTTAAGCCTGAAGATTCAGCTGGTAGATCAAACCTTTTATTTCAAAGAAATATTATTGACTTACTTTTGAGAAGCATCATCAAAACTGGCAACCAATATAATCCCATTTTCTGGAACAGTTTTCTTCAGAAAGCGTATCAGAGGAGCTTCTGGAAAACGCAATAGATTCAAAACGAATTAAGGAAAATAGTATATTTCTAGGTTATATCATTTACTTTGCATGTTCTGCAGGTTCTGAATTCATGGAATCAACTAACTAAGTTCATAACACATTCCACGTGTCCCGATGTAGGTGCAGGCAGAATTCAAAATGGTGCAGAAGAAAAAAGATGGGAAAATTTTGAATGTGACACATTTCGCTTTTATATATTCGATTGAGTGCAGACGTAACCTGTTCAGAACATACAATCAAGCGCAACCAATATGACTAGAATTTCAAATGAGCCAACTGAGAGTCTATTTGCTGATAACTAAAACAACTTACCGTCTTCATAAGTATCAAATGATCTTATGTCTGTAACTTTCTTTGTTTTATCTGAAGAGAAAATTAAATGAATGGAGTTTTATGTCCTACTTTTCTACACCCAATTCGAATAATGAAGTTGTGTTTTGGGGTGAAAATGCTTAAATTCAATATACATGTTAAGCTAATTTCAATCCTCCACATTTGGCAAAATTTGTTCAATTCTAAGGCGGAGAATGTATCTAACACGATTTTGGCAGTGAAAGTAGAATAACATTTTCATTTTTTATGTCCCAAGCGGGGAGGGACAGATAATCAATCCCCGCCTAAAAATGCTATGCTTTGTTGCCCCTTGTTTGTGTTTTACTTGCCAACAAAAATTAGACCTGAAAATCCCCCCGAATCTGCAGCCATCTTGTTGATAGTTAGTCAGTTTTTCAATGTGATTTGCTAATGTCAACTTGTGTTGGATCCAATGAGGTGTTTTAAACTGCTATTTGACCCAAAGTTAGTCTGGGTCTCTGATAGTGTGGCACTTTATGTTTCTGTGTGCAAAAAATACCTAATATAATAAGGAAATACACACATACCATCTATGAGTAAAATATTGAGACCTCTTCCATAATTCTTTAATTCATTACTTATATATCTACAAATAAGACAAAATATATTCATACAAACTTCACAGAGAACACAGATTTATCATGGGAGTTTTTAGGTGGAAAAATAAATGTCTTCTATATATTATGACAGTGTCTCAAGAAAAGACGACTCATCTTTTTAACTTTCAAACACAGAATTTTAAAATCACATGGATTTGAAGGCTCAAATTTAAACGGTGAGCTGTGAACACTATTACTGATTAACTAAGCTGAAAAAATCCTGTTTCTGAGACTAAGGTATGATTAGTCAAGAAATGGTGCCACTGTCCCTTTAAGTCCATATTAAAATTTACTTATAGTTTATATTGTTACAGAATAAAGAACAAACTAGGCTACATTCTTATTCTCTTAGTTTCACAATCATTTCTTTTGGAGGTTTACAACTTTATAAGCTAGTCTAAATTTTTGTCTACTTACATTTTTCCATCATAGCAAATAGTAGGTCCATACAAGTTGGAGTCCCCAGTTTTAATATAAAAAGTATGTTGTTCTGGTTTACATGTCACCCCACAGTTATCACCTAAAATATATTCATTTATTAACCTCAATTAAAAAAAAAAATATCCCCATTTTGTGATATATGATAATCACCATGATATATGTGATAAGTATCTTATTATTTGAAACAGGTTATTTTCATGCTCTTAAATCAATATCATGATCTCCACTTGCATCCAGATCACCCAGCCCTTCTCATAAAAATAATTGGATTCATTATAATCATAAGCTTTGCCTATTTGTCATAAGTTGTAAGACAGGCATTGTTCATAAATATAGAACTAAAAAAACTCAATTATATTACCTGTTACATTCCAATCATTAAAATTGACATCCCACATCTGACGATCTGAAAAACAAACATTTCTCAAATTAAATCAAGGAGGTATCACTGTATTGTCAGAGGCACAATTCACATTTCTTAATGAGGCATTATACACATTCAGCATTTCAATGAAGAAGAAATGAAATGGAGTTGTACATCCTACTTTTCTGCATCTGAAAAATGTAGACAAATGGGATGGAAATATTGCTAGGAGCTTATCCTTTCGAATTTCCAACTGTCAAGGGATCTATAACATGCACAGCCCTTGGGGTCTCATAATTTCCTTCCAAATGACCATTGTATCACAAATATGGGTTTTGACACATGTGGTCTTATTAACCTGTATTAAACTAAGACCGCTACACTCCGTTTTGTGGGCATGGAAATGAGATTGGTGGCATTTAAATCTGACCAATCAATGAGGTCATGTAAACAAAACACCAGAAGAGATAAGAACACATTCTTTCCAAGTAAATATTCCAAAGTAAGTTTTGATTTGATTTTGAAAATCTTACTCAATTCTGTACCGTACATATTCATCAAAACTTGTAATGTCACGCTGCTTTCGTTTTGTTTATGTTTGCAAACAAAATGTCAGATCGAGTGATTTGTTTTGATTGGCTGAAATTTCCTACCAATACAGTAGGGCCCATTTTGATTGGACAATATGTAGCTATAAATACCATATGTAATTTTTCTCACTTGTGTTACAACTGCCCTGAGAAATATGACGAATGGGGTGTGTTTTGGACACGATGCTTAATGACTAGATAGAACTAGTTAACCAAATTGCAAAATGTGAAAGGTATTGGCTGGATTGACTCCAGAGTAAAGAGTATAGTTACCATGTGAGAAGAGTGAGGTAATACAGTATATCAATATACATAAACATATCAACACTAACACAAACTTCTTCCATCCTATAATAGATAAATTATTATACATCATTCCTTAACCTTGGACAGTAATTAAACAGGGAACATGTGCCATTTTGGGGGGTTAATTGAGTCTTGAATGTATTATGTAAATAGTAAAATCTGTACTAGTAATGTACGAAAGTTGCACAATTCCTAAAAAAAAAAATATCTCAAACTAGGAATTTCTTTTCCTATTTCTATAGATGTATTTCATATATATGGCAGTGTCTAAAAAATAAACGACTTGTCTTTTTAACTTTCAAACACGGCTAATTCTGGACACACATGGATTTAAGGGCTCAAATTTCAACAGTGAGCTGTGAACACTATTACTGATTGGCTTAGCTAAAATTCGTGTTTCTGACACTAAAGTTTAATTGGTCAAAAAAATGGCACAACTGTTCATTTAACAGCAAAATTTGAGTAGAGAGAAAAACTCGACGAAACTAAAGTGGTTTAAATTCCTGAATTTCAGGCAAGTAGGTAAGAATAAAGGCCTTCATATAAAACTTCTTTGGCAATCATGGTAGATAGCAGAAGACAACTAAACATTCAGAAACCCATTGACAACATTCAAAATGGCTGTCCAACAGGTTTCTACTAATTGTTGTTGGGGAAATTTAACAAACAACCAGTTTAGTTAAAAAAAAGCTATCAGAGGAGTGTTATATATAGGTAAATTAGATGTCTGGTAATAATAGAAGAAAAGCAAAGTCAAAACAAACCTCCAAATTTTCTGTTAATGACCCTTCTGATTTGGCGAGATAATTTTGATGAATCTCGACTCATTTTCTTTCTTGTTTTAGTTTTCCTAACTTAAATTTCAAAACCAGAAAGCTGAAAAAGAAACAATTTATTATTATCATTACCTCAAAACTTTAACACCTTAACTGCCATTGTCGCAATATTGCGGCTACCGGTACTTAAAAAAAATTTTGGTTGACGGTATGGCAAAATATGACAGTGATGATATAATTTAACAATCTGTGATAATTTGTAAACAATAAAAAATGTATGTTTGGTCTACATTTCAACATTAAATAATGATATTGTGAAATTTGATTACACGTAGAAATGACGTCAATTTTATCATGGTGTCATTTTACTATTCAAATATTCTTGATTTTCAAGTTTATTACAAGTTATACCGCAATAAAGTAAGTTAAAAAGAAAACTCTTATGGTAACAAGTAAATATCCTTGAAGATTTGATTCAATGACACTAACCACCTATTGCATCACAAATTGTCAATTCTTTGAAAAAATATTTGTCAGTTAAAGGGTAATGCTCACCCTGTACAAGTAGACTAGTTAAAATTTCTCCTTATCAGCTGAAGCACTAGACCATTAAAATTAGTTAAAAAAAATTATTAAAAAATAGCTAATTCCTAAAAAAAGTCTTATTGCACTAATCACTATTTTAATCTCACCATGTTTAAATCTAAGTCACTTCAATTTTGTCTGATTGAAATTCATAGTTTTCCAAAGTGATTGGTCCTGTTTTATAATCTTTTGTTGTGGTTTAAAATGGTGTAAAATATTTAATATAAAAAATCTAAGGAAGGGAGAAAATTACGATTGACAAAATTAGAGAAGCTTGTTTGAATTTGATTGCAAAAATTTTCAACGACTTTGTTCAAAATCGTTTGCCCAAAATTTAATTCAATTGATTGCCATTGGCAATAATGATAATATTATTATTAAACAATAAGATTTTGTTACTGAATTGATATGTTTACCGCACAGGACTGGTAAAATATCGTATAAAATGTCCTAAATTGAGATTATTTCTTGAACAAATCCACTATGAATAAGAGTAAAGATTACCTCTGTCACATTTTGCTGTCAATGAGACAAATATAAAATATTTTCGTCATAATTCTGAAGAAATCACAAAATATTTGCCAAATATTGATTTATTAATTGCCGAAGTCGGCCATATTGATGAATAGAGTTATTTCCCTTAACAGCATTTTCCGATTTACCAGTTGCATATTCTTTACAGTAGAACCTCTCTATTACAACCGACTTCACAGTAAGGTTTTAATGGGATTGTATGGGTGTTTTCTAGCTGTTTTTTTTTTACTAACAACATATGACAACAAACATGAATTATATGAATGAAAATATTGAGTGTGTGGACTCTCTTAAAGGGATTGTTAACAGGTTCTCTGAATTTTTTAGGTGTGCCACGGACTTGCGATTAATAGTGACGTCATCAAACTCTTGGTTTAAGTGGAAATTGCAGGAACCACAGACTTCCGATTGAAAAATTGGAATGTTGCAAATAGATGTTATATAAGTGTCCCAGACAGGCATGAGAAGCTTGGGAAACCTTTTAACAATCGATTGTAAATATGAACACATCCACGAAATTGTCGAATAGTATATGAATATGTGAACACAGGTAATCCCTCTGGCATGAGTCACCACCTCGTTATAAGCTATTTGGAAAAAGTGAACCACCGTCTCATCTGTTTATTGATAAGGAGCATAGTTTACTCGACGACGTGGATGGGCGTGGCATATCATCCAATCATGTTTATATCATCGGCAGCATCCAGAATAAATACACAAGCTGTTATAATTTTCACTGATTTTAATAATTCAACACCAATTAACATTAATATCATAATTAACAATAAACATAAACCCCCAAAATTCTAACTTTTACTGAAATTATTAACACTCAAAAAAAAAAATAACCTTTCCCAATAAGAGAAGGCCAGGGAATAGTACGGCGCTGACGTTTTTCTCATGATTTCAAGACATTTGACGAGTGTCCACCAGTGATGTTTCTACAGCCCCCATCCCCCCCCCCTCCACTTTCAAATTAGCTATCATTTTACATTGGGAAAGAATTGCCTGTTGACTTTGAGTCTCCAAGACAATTTTTACCTAATGCTCTTTATGATTCATAGAAATACCACAGTTACCTACACCCCACCGATACTTGATTTTACAACCATTTAATTTACCATTGTGGAGCGAACTAAGGAGTATTATACCATAAAATTGTGTTCCATAATTAAAGCAGATTCAAATAATTTGAAAACATCAACATTGTTACAGCTAACAGATCGTGAGATACAGAGGTGAAAGTGAAATCAGAATAAGTTCGTAGCCAGAAAAAAAGAATTTTCGAAGACTAGTCTTCTCTATTTTTGAGACATTTCGGATGTTCATCACCATCTTAGTCCCGGTATTTAACTCCTATTGGCCCTGTTGATTGTGGTTTTTATCTCTCAGCTAAATGAAGATCAATATTAAATCTACTATGAAGAGATTGAAGATCTGATACTGAAGAACCGTGGTTTAGAACTGGAGTTGAGTTGGGTCGAAATACAAACTCTCCTGAAATATAAAATAAAAGTTTGGAGTTTTACTTCGTGATCTATTTTCTAACTGGATCAATCTCCTAGGTTAATTACTTGTAATGCGGCAACATGCAAACCGGTAAAAAGATCTATCGCCACTCACCAGGCCATTATTTAATATTTCGTTGTTAGCATGGTGGACTAAGATCGACATTGCAGCTGGCAGAATCTAATCATGGCCTTGATTTAGTCGACCTCACTGCAAACAGCGTTTCGTCGTGACAGAGTCAGAGTGGCATGCTTCAAATTACCAACGGATCAGGGCCCACAAGAACTAGCAAGTCGAAAGATTTCTATGGCTTAAACATTGGGTTTAAAATACTTGAACTGAATACTTCAGCAAAACAATCTGAACAATGAGATGGTTCTTCAATTTCAAGACCCTCCACCATTGTCTTAGTAGCCCGAAACATATTCGGTATTTTAGTGAACTTACGTTCTGGTGGCGAGGGAGCAACCGGACGTTGAACTGATCCGGGTCTTTCATCTCTTAGAATTTCTGAAATGCAATAACAATTCGTTTCATTTTCACAGGTAGACAAAACAAAGCACAGCTGCTCTGGACTTTCTACCTGTACGCGACGCAACTAATCTAATTCGTGCATCTTACCATCGTTCAATTTGGATGTCAAATCCCTCTCAGGACAGCTGGTATCAATAAATTTATGCTGAAATTATAGATCCTTACAGAAGTCTTTGACAGATACATTGTCGATTATCCGGATAACCGTCAAAATTTCTACCAGAGATTGTAAGGGTCTGCCACAATCACTATGAATCTGAGGCTGGTAAGGGCCACATGGACAGCGTACTGTATGATTAAGCTAATAAATCCGAACCTTCAACATAAGAATGAGACGCTGTATGGGGTAGTGCTGATTTGTTATTATCTCCCCCTGCCGTGATGTTCTTCAATCCCATTCCTTTATGACACGGTGTAATACATCTACGTCGCAACGTGTCATACATCGACTGAAATAGATTTTTAAAAATGTAATGAATGGAGTTTTACGTCCTGATTCTTCTGTACACAATTAGGTAACACCATGCAGTGCACAATGAGAGAAATCTTGGCAGGGCAGCGGCCTGAGCCTACTCTCTTTCGGTTTCCAGCTGTCTGACGGTCTTGAAAAGGTATTATTCATGCACTAATACAAATAAGACTAAAAAAAACTATCAAGATCAAAATACCTGTAGCTTCTGGTTTTGGCGACTCTTTTCCATCAATTTCTCTGAAGCTTCATTATATTTCTTCTTTGCTGCTTCCAGTTCTTTTTTAGCTGCTGAAAATATCAAAAAATACTTTGCAAATCGTCGCGAACATAATCTTAAATTTGGGAATTGACAACAAAAAAATTCTAACTACGACGCTATAATAACAGCTTTCATAGATAGATGATTAAGTTTTTAATATCATCAAATTCATGTAGCCCGTGGATAGGCTCAAAAGTCGAAAAATAAAGTTTAAGATCATGCACTGAATTCATTTGACCATGGTAATAGAATAAACTTACATGCTATCTGGGACTTCAAACCTGAAAATATAAGAGGAAATATATTTCATTGTTGTCACATAAGACTGCCGGTACTTCCAAATTTTGGCCTTGGCCTAAAAATACTACCTCAGTAGTACGCCATTGATTCTGTAATTCAATGCTACTTACTATTGAGCTCTGAATGTGTTCTGGTAACTATCTGTTCGTAATAGTTCTCTAGCTGTACTGATCTTTCTTTAGCTTTATTTGCCACATATTCTTGATACGACTTCTCATGGTGTGTCTGAAAACGAAACAAATAAGAGATACTCCATCGTATCCCGAATACGGGATTTGACAATGTCTTCTTAACCCATATTAAACTAAACCCACAACACTTCGTATTGTGGGCGTTGAAATGAGATTCGTGCTATTTAATTAAAACCTAAAAATTGCACATTCTTAGAGCGTTGGCTTTCAGGACCTCCAGACAAAAATGAGGGTTTTTTTAATCTTGTGGTCATGACAACATCGGAAACGAGCCTTTGAAAGTTCCTCAAGGTTTAGGCTTTAGCACTAATATTGCAATGACAATGATCTGTATCGGAGCTCCTGTTCTTCAGTTCCACTGCAATTTCTAGAACATATTTAGCAATCCGATTTATCACAGAAGGAAACATTCATTATTAACCTACTTGATATGTCCAGAAAGACAGCGATCTTGTACAAATTTCCATCACTATGTCGGGTTTCAAACCCGCTAACACCATCTGGAATTAAGAAAGCTGAACTGGAAAAGTTTCCCAAATATGATTTCTGATTGATGGATGAATCTTTCTCTTTATATTTTCGTTAATCTGCGTTTTTAACCATTCAGAAGAAGAAGAATGACGACTTACCGATTTATATTGTTCTGATGGTTTTAAATCAACTCTTATGATATCAAATCTTCCAGAAACAACTGTATCACCTTCAAAAAAGAAAAAAAAGCATATCACGGGGTCAATACGATCTCTTTCGTCATGGAAAATTGAAACGTCGGCCCTGCATATCTACTATAAAACTATTTAACATCACATAAGAATCTTTTCTGTTGACACCTAAAGAAGAATGTCTTAAATATATAAGATATAATGTTGTTCCATTGTTGAAGGTGCATTTAGGTATCCTCTCAGAACTTACCCTCTAGATCTAAAGCAGCGTGTTTTGAATAGTTATACATAGGTAGCTAGTTTAACATGGGATATATACTTACAAGCTGGACATTTCATTGCTTTACTGAACTGTTCTGATCCGTCATCGTCACAAAATATGTCTGAGTCTGGTTAAGGAATAATGCCCTATAATAACTCAACTGAGTTTCCGAAGATGCGATTTTACTCAGGGGGGTCGTAAGGGCACTTTCAGGAATGAGAAGTCCGTTAACGCTGTTTATTTCTAAGGATACGTGAGCATGACGTAACCTACAATTAAAAAAAGAACCAAGATAGCAGATTATTACCATAGTGCCTCATGCAAATACCGGTAGCGCAGCCTACATACAATATATAATGCAAAAGACTAGGCACCACTACGGTCAGGAGTGCCTTAGTGCCCAAAAGGAGTGTGCATAAATCACAGTGCTTAAATGAAATCGTGCCGAATATTTGTGTGCCTAACCATGTACCTATCTATGTGAATGTAGCCTTGTAGGCCTAAGCTTAACTTAACTGGAAACGTTCCTACCTAATTCACTGACACTCACTGGTGCAAAGCTGGACAAGCCTCTTATCTTATAACTTAGCGTAAAGCTCAGAGGCAGACGTATAGCCATCAGCATAGGGAGCGTAGCATATCCATACAATACAATGGGCCGAATATCGATTGGGATTATAGGATAGGCCTAGAGTAGGCTTCATCATCACGTTAAATTGAGATTAGAGTAGAGAGTCAGGTCAGTGACGTCATTGGCCATTTTCAACTTACCCATGCAAAGGTGTCCAACTCTTTTCTGCACTTTGGAAAATTACAAATAAGAGAATCCATCTCGCTCATGGATCCTGCTCCTTTTTTCAAGTTAATTATTTTACAGCAATTTCGCCTTCTTTGTTTACTTCTGGCAGGTACCCGACGTCAAGGGGGGATAACTCTATTACTCTATCTAAAGCTACAGACCAAAGACATGTATTGAATTGTCTTATGGGGATACTACAGACAACAATATAATCATTTCAAATGAAATAAAATATTTATTAAAAATCACACTCACTTTCACTCTAGTAACAAATATTATAAAAAAAAAAAAGGAAAATTCATAATAATTTTTGGTTTATTTTATTGCACAAAATATATTGTCATTGTCTCTGACCCATTTAGACCAACAGAAGAAACACAATTACTAGTAACCATATAGCTTTCAAGAAATCTGCTTTTCATAGTGAAAAAAAAAACTTTGAATGGTCCTTAATGAATAATGAATTCTTATTGAAGTTCTTAGTATTACAAGTAGGCCTATATGGTTACAGTATAAAGGGATAGATTCGCCATTTTCAGGAGTTGATTAAAAATACAAAAAAAACCTATAGTTCCTTTAAAAATATCTCAAACTAAAGGAATTTCACTTTATTTTCTATATTCTGATCCAGTTTCAAGAAAAGAAATATAGCTTTAATTATAGCTTAGATAAAAATAATTCTGTTTTCGAGATTAAGGTACGATTGGTTAAATTGATGGTGCACTGTCTCTTTAACTAAAAAATTTCAAGTTGGAAGAGTTCAATAAAAGAGAGAGGGGTGTCACATAACAGGCCTTATTAATTTTACTTAATAAAAATAAAAAACCAAATTAAAATTTGAAAAAAATGCCAAGAAAAAAAGTCATTTCAAAAGAAAATTATATAAATAAATACTGAATTATAAATAATTACAAAATTAACAGACAGAATGTCCAGAAAACAATAATAACGAAATTTTTTATGTGTAGTTCAGGAAAGATATTTATGTAAATGAGCAGTCCAGTTTATTTTGAAGTGGGTACATTGTAATGCACACAATATAAGTTTAATTCCATTAGAACTAAGTGTTTATGACGTCACTTATTGCAAAATAGGCTTTAATACATTAGGTCCTACACTATTAGTGATGTCACCAAACGCATAGTTTTAATGAAATTGCAGTGAAAATTGGAGTAGGCCAAATTGAAACTTTCAGTGTCCCGATGCACATAATTTTTTTTAGAAAACCTTTTTACAATCCCTTCATAACCATAATTTGTATATTTTGCAAAGCAAGCTTCTTGTGCAACCAAAAATGAATCAATTCATTCTCTATACAAACTAAATAAAAATGGACACCCTTCCACATACACCACAATTATTTTTTCAAAAAATCTTCAAAATAATTTGATCACTTTAAACATGAAATGTGAATTTTTTTGGTATGTACATGTGAATGAAGATTTCCAAAAAGTGCAAAATTTAGGGGGGGGGAAAAATTCCCATAAATTGAAAAATCCCCACAACATTAAATATGAGAAAACAAACAGATGAGCCTTTTTGTGTCTTACAAAATATTGAAAAGAAAATAATGAAATGAATGGAGTTTTACATCCTACTCTTGTGCACCTGGGCTAATGAAAACAGACAATGCCATGCAGCGTGCTATGAGGGAAATTTTGCCAGGACAACTATTGAAAAATAAAAAGGTGACAAATAGGCAAACATGTTGATCATATCACAGTTGCTGACAAAAACAGATACATAAACAGAAAACAATTACTTTCTTATCACAAAGGGAAACACAATGAGCTAGCTGGATGTAGTGATTTTCTATGGCAGTGATATTATAACCTACAGGCATGACAATGTCATGTCTTTTTATTTTTTGAAAGGGACAGATGTGCTAATTTTTTTGTGGGGGGGAGGGAGGGGTGGAGGGGGGTGTTGATTTGAGTCCTGAATATAATAATAGTCTTGAGAAGTACTAGAAATATTCCAAAATCACATAATTCCTTTAAATATACTTCAAACTTGGAATTTTACTTTCTATTTCTATATATGCCTTGTCCATATATCACAGAGTATCTTAAATTGACGAGTTTTCATTTTAACATGGAATTGAAGACACAAATTTCGATGGTGAGCTGTGAAAACTATAACTGATTGGCTAAGTTAAAAAATCGTTTTGAGACTATAACATGATTGGTCGAAAAATTGGTGCACCTGTCCCTTTAAGGAATAATATTGTTAATAAAGTCGAGTATAATCAACCACTGCAAGCAGTTTGGTTTGCAACACTGAAATTCCTTTGAAGGAATGGTAAAGAGGTTTCATAAATTTTGTATGTGTAATAGGGACGCATCAATTTGCAACATTCCAGTTTCCAATCAGATGTCTGTTGTTCCTGTAATTTACATTAAAACTATAGGATGTCACTATTAATCACAAGTTCCTGATACACATTAAAAATTCAGAAAAACTCTTTACAATCCCTTCAAGAGAGTCCACACACCTTATATTACATTCACATAATATTGCACTTGGTTAAATAGGAAAATGTCTTGAATAATGAATAATAAAATCTAGAAAATTGTGCAAAACGGATAAATATGATAAAATTATGCAACAAATTAATAAATATTAAATATAATAACCATATATTGAAAACATTTAATTCTGACAGAGTTTAAAAAGATGTAAAAGTCTATCAATATAATTATATTTGTCAGTGAGAACTCCTATTTAGCTGTGACTCAATTCAATGAAGTGCCAGTGGTGGTACAGGGTAGGGCATTTGCCCCTCTAAAAAATGGTTTGTACCCCCCAATTCATTTTTAACAAATTTTAAGTTATTATGATTTTTATACGTTTTTGACATATGAATCATAATGCACCTAATCAATTCTGTCTTTCAGGCTCTCAGAGCTGCCGCATTTTGAATCTCAGCCTCAATAGTTGTCCCCCTATTTGTACCCCCAGTCTTGAGAGACTAGCGCCATCACTGATTCACTGAGGTATAAAGCAGGATTTTTTCCTAGGACTTAAAATCATGAAAAAAATGTTAGTATACAAATTGAAAAACAATGGATGATATTAAACCGGTCAATAAAGATGAGAATGTCAACAGCCTGAAACTTCGGCTGTGGCTGTGCATTTTTGATTTATTGTAGAAAAAAGTTGATATCAAATTATCATTCTAAAAAGTGACACAGATAACTGAAATTTAGCTCTATAAGCTGGTGAAGCAAGACTTGAGAAGACCACATCCTTGCTAGATTTAATCCAAGTATCTTATACATGTCTTAGCCCTTTAAACCCTGGCAGTCGGGTTACCGGGCACACACTAATGCAATATATACCCTAGCAACCTGTATACCAGCCGTTACTAAGTGATGTCATACAATGTTAACATCATATGCTTTTAGTTTTATTACTTTGAGTACTTGACGTTATATTTCATTTACACTCAGGGTCCAAAGTGTTAAAATGTAAACCATGAATGCTGCTGTGAACAGTAATAAAATTGGTCATATATTTTTACCTGGCAAGATATAATAGTCTATGCTTCATAATAAATGGCTAAATTACATACCAATGAAAGGTGGTGGGTAAAGTTTAACAATAATTGACAAAGACTATTTTGTGCTGTACAGAAAAATATTTCACTCCGATGTACAAATTGTAACTTGAAATGTACAATATTTACAATATAAAGGGACTTTGACAAATGGAATTTATGTACAATATTGGGAAGAAAAAGTTATAAAGTTATACAAAACAATAAATTATTTTCACTGCTTGTTCTGAGGCTGTATTTTGTAGACCTCTCACATGGTTTTTCATGTCAAATATCAGCATCAAAAATTTATAATAAATAATCCTTCATTTTACTAATTTACAATATTACTTTTTCAATAAAATGCCATTTACCTAAGATTGTCTTTGTAGAAATATAAAGAAATTTAACATTTGAAATAAACACATTTCCCTCTCCAAAATTTCCAATGAAAATGGTTCACATTTTGGACTGAAAATTCACCTCTGTAAAATGATATATTGATGAAACATATTTAAATGACTAGTAGCAAATTTAAATTTCGTAACAAATAGAAAACCAATTAGTCTAGAGTCTTACAAGATGGGATAATAAATTTATTCCAACAATCCAACTTTAATGTAAAAGTCACAAAATTTCGATGTATCTGTCCAATATTTTTATGCATAAGAAGAGTTAAAACTAATTAATTTGATAAAGTATTTGAATTATTTGTTCATATATACCATGTTCAGGTTTTGATATTATTTACAAATATACATATTTTACAAAAATTTCTTGCTTTACAAACATTTACAATAATTTTCTTAGCAATAGCAATAGCAAAAAGAAAAAAAGAATTCTACAGATATCAATGATATAAAATGATTTTTTTTATTCAAAAATGTCACTTTATTATTACAAAAATTCCTAAAAATGTTCCAAAATGTTACTCATTTTTAAGAAAATTTAAATTCATAAATTTGCATGATTTTTTTCGCATAAATTTGCATGATTTTTTTCACTATAAAATAATTTGACATTTTTTGTCATTAAAAACTTAGTCCAAAATATAATAATCATACTGATTTCATCCGCAATTTCTCAATCTTCTACAAAATTTAAATGTTGTAAATCTTTTTAAAGCAATTCAAATATATACAATATACAAAAGGAAATATATAATATACAATTTAATAGAAATAGGTTTAAACTCCGATTTGATCAACAAAGGAATGGGTAGTTCAACCTCCAGCACTTGGGAAGAAAAAAAATATTTGGAATTTCAAAATAATTAGAAACAAAAAATTAATTGGTTAATGAATTATCAACTCGTTAAGAGCTGACCTAGACAAATTAAAACTAAAGATAATATCGTTAAATATGATTTAGAATATAATAATATAGAACCACTACCACATTTCGTGTCATCTTCCTGCAACGAAAAAAAAAAATGGCATGTTTGACTAGACTGAAAATAACCATCGAGTTGATTGGTCTTACTAGCATCACTGATCTAAGAATCAATACTATTTCAATGCTGAGATCACCTCAAAGATTTTTTTTTCACCTTCTCGGTGATTATGATGATGTTGATCAATGCTCAATATCATTTGAAAGGAAACAAAAAAAAAAACCCCAATTTTCCAAATGTTCACTTCCACGCATCCAAATAGAAGTATCATGTGTGAAAGAGTTCACTCAAAGTTTGAGGGGTGTCAAATAGATGACTGACACACAATATCCAGCCTTGATGATGATGATGATAATTTTATCCATTAATTAACTTACTCTCTCATCTTCATCATAACAATTCATCCGATGTCTACGATATCTTGGCTCTTCTGACAGTGAGCAAATAGCTTCATCTTCAACTGCAAAATTCCATAATGTTTATATTAGTATGGAATACATGGAAACTATAAAACTATTTTTTTACTGTTACTGTCTTGGCAGGGCCGTAGCTAGAGAGGGTGCCAAGGGAGGGGGGAATTTAGATGACTTAAATGACTTGTTCAGTCACTATAGTTGGGCTCCCTTCAAAAAATTTGAAGTGGGTATAACATTAAAGATGATACTGTAATTCATGATAAAATGAACTTACTTTCCTCAGTGACAGGTATAGGATGTTGTGGTAATGGTTCGTAGAAATCTAGACATTCATCACAGGAAGGTGTTGTTACTACTAATAATAAATTACCAACTTGTAGTCTTACAGCTCGTACAGACCTAGAATAATATCAATAATCAATCAAATATCTCTATTTATTACAATCTTGATACACATAGGTTATAAAACATTAGTTTAAGGTACTTCTAGGTTATTCAAAGGGACAGGTTGGCTATTTGTTTGACCAATTGTACTGAAGAAAGAGCTAAGCTAACTAGTAATAATGATCACAGGTCACTGTTGAAACTTTAGCCTTCAAATCAATTTTTGTCTGAAATTATCCACATTTGAAAGTTAAAAGATGACTCATCTTTTCTTGAAACTCTACCTTATATAGTTTAGAAAAATCTATAGAAATAGGAAATAAAATTCCTAGTTAGAGATAATTTTGAAGGAATTATGCGATTTTTGTACATTTCTATTACGTCTTTTACTATTTACATAATATATTCAAAACCCAAATCAACTCCCAGAAATGGTGAATCTTTTCCTTTAATTAGCAGAAATGAAGAATTTTGGCTTGTGTAGTTTCTAATACTATGTATATGGCATAAAAATAAGGTGGACTGCTCATAAACGTGTTTTGAATTAGACCAAAATGTGCAGGAATCTTTATATATCATTTGACAAATGAACATCAAATCTTTACCTTGTACAATTATCACAGTGAAATTTATCTTCGAATTTCTCTTTTTCACCAAAATAATACTGATACATCATTTTAACACAACTCTTAATGACTATCTTATCTTCTTTCTCTTTCGCTGTAGATTTAAAAAAATAAATAATGCGAGATTACACAAATACATTTTCTTGTGGGATAGCATACACTGACCATTTGTTTAAGTATGGTCCATCATGTACTAGTTAATGCCGTTTCTTTTTTGGGGTAGATCTAACGTCATGGATAAAGATTTCTAATGGTGTGGGCACACAATCAGTCTTGGTCGGTGATTTTTGTCGCTGATTTGAATCTTGAGGAAAATGTGCCTGTGCCTTCACAAGAAGATTATCTCATGCCAACAGGATTTATAATATCAAGCCAGTTTGATATTTTTCACCGATAGTTTTATCGTCTGCAAGACAGAGCATTATCATCCAATCAGATTCATTTTCCTTTCAATAGCATGATCCGCACGTGATTATCGACATGGTGACAAATATGGCAATGCCTCTCTAAAAATTGATAACCGAGCTTAATGTCTTTTTTTTCAATGTATTCTAAATCAACCAAGACCACCCGTTTGTCTCCTTTTAACATGGATTAGTGCTACTAAAAGATTTCAAATAGCAAATCAATCTTACCATAGGTAGTTGTTTCTGAAACCAACCAGCTGGAAAACACACAGAGACTATCATTAATATCTTCAATATACACATAACATACTAACATTTTAACATTTAAACAATTACTTTGTCACATGAATAATTGTGTTTACACACCAAAGTTTAATTCTTAAATATTTATACAAAAAAGACGTGTTTCTACTAACATTGTCAAAGTTGTAATCAATGAAATTCATATTTTTTTTTAAAAAAGGTAGATATTTTTAGACATTTAGTGTAATCCATTGAAAATAATTCAAATATTGCTACTTACTTGTAGATGTTGAAATTTACATATAACCTAAAAAAAAAAAAAAAAAAATTAAAGTAGACCCTCAAAAAAAAGAAAGCAGACCTTCAGAACTTGTACATGATGGTGCTGGAACAGTGTTAATGTAACATATACCTATACCTGAACCTTCTCATAACAAACATTTTATAATATTCAACTTATATTTAGAACTGATATAATAGAAAGTGTCTTACCATGAAAATTTACTGGACCACCAATTCACAGAGAGAAAATCAAAAAACAGGTTAATGGAGGGCTGAAATTATAACAATAATTATACAGTGGGTCATCTTAATACAAAGTAATTTTACATAGTTTGTAATAATCCCAATCTATTAAGTGTTTGGAGTGTAAATAAAAGATGTAAGTTTCCTCAAAACAAAGGCTTAAAGAAAATCCATTCAGTTATATCAACTTACAATTTTAAAAGCAGATGGTCCAGCGTTAACATTTTTATCTGTATTGATAATACAGGATGCTTGATAATTAAAATAACGGTTTCTGAAATAAAAATAACACAGACTCAAACTCCATGAATATATTTGAACCTGTTCATTGCCATGCTTTAAGCTTTAAGATATAATGTATTTTACTTTAGATATGAGAGCATATCCTATTTTTCACAGGAAGTTAAAATTCATTTTAAAAATTCCTCTTCATATATTTGAAAAGTTGACCTCCAGAATCATTTGCAGAGGACAACCAACCAACCAACCAACCCAAACCCCAACCCCAACCACCCAAACAACCCACCAATCAATCAATCAATCAATCTTGTATTATGACTTACCTTTTATATATAGATTGATTAAACAGGACATGCATCACACTTGGATCAACATTGCCAAAAAACTGTCCAACCTAAAATTAGAATTAAATAATTCAAAAAACATCAAACATAGACTTAACAAACCAAGTTGAAAATAATGTAATCAGTCTAGGATATGGGTACAGGGCATGAAAAAGTTCTGGATTGACTTTCTCAAATAAACAACAAACCTGTGGTACAAGTTCTTCCTGGTTAGTTGAGACTAAAAAGCCTCCATCATCCAGTAAATAACAGAACAGAGATTCTGTATCATTACAATGAAGAGCGAATGGAAATGCCTTATCTCTCTTAGCAGATATAGCCACCATTTCTGTTTGAAGTTTCTGATGTGATATCTTTACTCCAGCCACTGAAAAGAATAATATGTGTTATCTAAGATATAAAACCAGTGAACATTTTACTCTGTTCCATCACTTCCATGGGCTGAATGTTGAGACAGGGCCATGTCACTTTGTGTACAAGACCTAATTCTGACCATGTAAAATAAAGACTTCATTATCATTATTGATATTGTTTTTTTTGTTATAGATATTGATCAGAGAAACTTATGTAGAAATGAGTCTCTACATTTAGGTAGAACAAGAAAAATGAAGTTTTATGCACTACCAATTGCATCGTAGACAAATTGAAAAACAGTTTTGACAGCAAATAAACAAACCGAGCCTTTCCAAGATGAAGTCCTCACTTACCAGCTGGTTTATATTTGATTCTATAAGGTAAATCTCTAAGAGATATGGAATGAGCCACCATAATAGAAGGATTGTCTGTGTAGTTCTTAGTTACATCTGTAAAATATTACAAGTTCAAAAACGTTTAAAACAGTTTTGAAATTACATTTCAATTTCCTATACACGTAGTCGATAAATCTATTAAAAAGAACGGTTTTGTATTGACTTTAGTTATATAATAAAGCTATTATGCATTGTAATGAATGTCCATATGAATATATTAATATTAAAGTTTACGTTGCAGCTGCAAACAATAACTTTGTAACCATACTAGACATTAAATTTGTATTCTGGCAATTAAATTTATTCCAATTGCTTACCTTGTGGTTCTGGAGGAACAAACAAAAACTTTTCCGAATTCAAGGCTCTTTTATAATAATCTGCCTTCCAAGTGTCTAATTCAAGTTCTTCTGAATCAAATGTTTCATTTTCCCTGTAAAATTTAAAAAATCAAAAGTGAGTTAAACAGACAAAAATGAAATTACTTAAAAATTCCTTATGTCAACCTAAATCACCATCTTAAACATTCACAATCCAGCAATACAAGGCACATAACAGAAATAAACAATATAATGAACAAACGAAGTCTCAATGCACAATGAATATTTTTTTTTTGTCAATACTTACATTTTATCATGTTGATAGATCTGAGTAAGGCCACCATTTGTTGCTACAAATGCAATCATCAATCCTTCCAAATCTTCTCTGAAATAAAACAAAAATTATCATCTATGTCAACTCTCTAAAAAGGAATAAAATATTGACAAATTCAGAAAAATCAGAAAACATTATCATCCTGTTTGTAAGATATATAGAAATAGGCATAGGCTATGAAGCACAAGATATATGGATATACTATTTCTGTATTTATTAAGTCAACGTTTCACACGTTATCAAGAGAAATGAATAATACAGCAAGGCTAACAATATATATAGTAAATAAATAAGTAACAGACAGAGGAAAAGGGTAAACCATGAGTTAACAAGATAGATAAGATCAATTCTACTTTATTCCATCTGACACCTTGCCGCCTGCTACAACTGAAACCTGAAAACTAGGCAGTGGCAGAGCACTACCTCAAAGACAGGCGGCACATAGTCTGGTTGAACAAAGTAGAATTAATTGATCTTAACTATCTTGTTAACTTAAGTTGAATATGAATATTTCTACATGAATATCAAACTGAAGAGAGTCTTACCTTGTATTAGCATCAGTAGCAATTGTCTCATAATATTTATCAATACTACTTATAACTTTTAAATCCCAGTACAACTGATACAACAACTCTTTATTCCCTACAAATAATGCACATAGAGAATGGTATTACAAGAACATATATATCAGGCTCATAGCAAGAGAGGATGTGATCTGATTTTTTCGCTCTTTGTAACCAATCAGAGACATTGAAGGCAGACAAAACAAACTGGCATCTACGTATTTGTCTAAAATACTTGACATCGCAAGGCTATGTGAATCAAAACTTCTCTTCACTTCGCTCTTTTTTGCTAAGACGAGTATAATCCGACCTTAAGCCATGGTTAAATTCAAAATTGATCAGTACTTACAATTGTCATCATTGGAATCTTTCTGTAAACATAATTTATAAATATCATCAACAGTTTGTGTCATATTCTCAAATAGACTCATGTTTTTATAGTAATCCCTGTAATCAGAAATAACATCAATGGTATTAAAGGGACTATCATGCTTTAGACCCAAAAACAGGATTTATTTTAGCCTAGCCAATTAGTTATAGTGCTCACAGCTCACAGTCAAAATTTTACATTACTATTACATTATTTTTTCTATAGCAGATACTATTTTTTGCTATAAGATTTTAATGAAATTCAGGAATTTTGATTTAATAATTGAAATATTTATAATAATTAATTAATAATTAACTAATACAGTTATATTTACCATGGAGCTATCTTCCTCTGATAATCATTGTTAGTTTTAAACACTGATTGATCTACAATAATACAAAATATAAACATTTAACATAAAACTTACAAATGGAAAGAGAGAGAGGTTTACTGTACTATAATTGTTCATTGTCTATTCGAATGGTGTTACAGAATTAAGTTAATGTGCAGTAAAAATGAAAAAGAAGAAAAGACTTACTGAATGAGTTGATGTTGCCTAAGAACTTGGGATAAGTTGATTGATAAGCTGGTATAGAAACACCCAAACTGAAATAGACACATAGTCCATTAAAATTCATTTTCAAAACAGTGCTTGGCTTGTTGAAGCAGCCCAAATATAAGACACTTGTCTCGACACAAAATAACCCAACATGCATCGCAGATCAGTGGAATTTCTTCTGCATTTTATCATTCCCTTCATCAAGCACTTGAATACAAGTTTCGAAAGGGAAAACAAAATCTTCAACTCACCTGAAGGATGTATTTTTGATTGGGGTAAAAGCATATGTTAAATTTGACCAGCTGACATATTTCTGAAATTAAAGATCAAATCTGATTATGTTTTTATTCTTTCTGAAGTATTCTAAAGAAGAATTTGAATCATATGCATCCTTAATAAAAATCCAAAACAGTTATCTTTGCTATAACAAAACAACCTATTTTCTGTTTCAAATCACATTCAAGCCTGTACCAACGGGTTCACAGTCTCACAAGATCACTCAGTTTCAGTCAAATAATAAAATATTAATATCAATTACTAGTATAAATATTAGTTTAATATACTTACCAAACTGGGTGATAAAACTAGTGTCCTTATTTCCATTTTATCATCTTCTTCATCTATCATCTTATTTCTTAACTACAATATATAACATTATAACAATAACCCTACATTACAATATCTAAATCTTTTCACTGTAACTAGACATTTTCATAATGTCAACCTATCACAAACTCTGACTACTCCCTTGACATCATTTGACATTTTTCTGGTTTCATGCATTTATTAAATGCAGCAATTTGATTGGATTTGTCACAAACGATGCAGCAACATATTGTCTTTACGTCGAGGGCTCTGATTAGCTAGCATACAATCCAATCAAATAACTGCATTGCTAAATTTCAAATGTACAATAAAAGTGCCCAATGATGTCATGGTATTAGATAGAGTTTGCATTGTTTGCAATAACTTGATATCATGAAGATGGTAAATAAAGTGCTTATTTATTTATCAGAACATTTCCAATAACTTTACTAAAATAACAAATGTGTCCATTCCAAAGTGTTTCTCAATATGTTAATTATAGAACACAGAAATTTTTGAATAATCTAATTAAAAAAAATGTTTGTACAAATTTTGGAAAAAATATGTTTTATTATACCTTTAATTTATCTGGATTATTAATCTCTACTTCTAATAAATCAACATCTGGTGGATCTTCTAGATAAGTTTCCTGTCAAAAATAATAAAATAGAATACTATCAATTATATAATTATCTCTTGTTAAATATAATAAAATCTTGTCAAATATAATACTGTGAAATATAATAATCATCCCCTGTTAAATATAATACTGTCAAATATATTAATAAATCTTGTGAAATACAATACTGTCAAATATATAATTATCCCCTGTGAAATATAATACTGTCAAATATATAATACTGTCAAATATATAATTATCCCCTGTCTAAAAGTTTTTACTTACACTGACTCTAAGATTAGGATGAAAAATAACATAACCATTTGGATTAATAGCAAAGGCGTAGCCATTTGGTCCCAGCTAAAAAATTCAACATAAGCTTATTAAAACTTGTATTTATTTTTTTATCTATTAATTTGAACATTTATAACACGTGGAGAAAATACAGTTCTGGAATGGAATGGAATGGAAGTACAAAAAGTCAAAATACATAGAAATATGAACTGATCATGATAAAATTAGTCTTAAGGATAACCCATAAAACTTGAGTTAATATTTTTATTAGCTTATTTCCAGTATAATCTTGCAAATCAAATGGAAAAGGTTCAGCTAAAAACAAAACTGTTCCAAACACATCATTATGACATCTTCTTACATACATAGTCTTCTTTTTCATATCTACATTACTATTTTTTTTCTATAGTCTCCATTGTTGCTTGGTTTATCAACAAACAAAATGGGACAATGGTTTACTTAATCAAAATAGTTTTCTTGATTACCTTATTTTTAGGGGCTTTCTTCTCTAAATCTTTAGTTGTCACATCTATTCCCATTACACCTAATATAGTTTGGTTAGACTGAAAAAATATATATATTCATAGTAAACTATTCAGATGATGTGAATTGAAACTAAATGATGCTATGCAGATCTTTCAACTAAATCAAAATACTTAAAACAGAACTCTTATGGCAATTGCAAATTCATTTAATTAGTAGATTTGATGAATTTCTTCAATGTTTGATTGTTTGTAGAAGAAGAAGACCTCTCTACCCACAGTAAATAATGTATGCTCACCGATCCCTCTGATTTGTTATAAACAGGTAGAGTTACAGTAGTCATCATTCCTAGGCCCTGCATAATAATAAAAATTATATACAATTACTGTCTATAATATAGACTAGAAAATATAGCATAGCATAGCCAATAGTCCATTAAATACTGATGGTAAAATAGACTTCACTGTAATTTAATTTTTGTTTTTTCATGTATCATTGTATATTTGATAAACACTTAATATTCAAGTTGTTAATTCTTAATAGATCTACTCTTTAAATATTTTATGATTATGACATCAATAATGTTAAAATTTTCAATATTAACTGAAATCTGAAGGAAAAAGAGAGAGAGATATAAAAAAAAAAAAAAAATAAATATGATTTTTAAAAGGCCTTATATCAATGAAATAAGAAGAAAAAAATCAAAATTTAATCTATTTTTTCATAGTTTAATGCAAAATATACATTTATTATGATCAGAGTCAATGGTGCAGGGGCACTATTATACAATAGTAGATAATATTTTATCCAAAAACATGTAAGATCGGTCCAAACATTCCCTCTGTATTTTTTTTAGCCACTTCAGTTTGGGTCTCACTACAGCCCTCATAAATGTTTGTCAAATTAACCTTTTGACCGTACCTGATAAACACTGCATCACAAAATGCTATAAAATCTATATTTGATTGGTCAAAGCAGACTTTGTCGAGTAAGGTCAAAAGGTCAATTTGACGAACATTCAAGAGGGCTGTCGTTAGACCCTAACTATAGTGGCTATATTAAAAATATGCATGTAAGATTTTTTAAGCAAAATATTCATTGCACAATTAAAGATCTTACACGTGTGAGAAATGCGAAGAATTTTTTCATTGATATTGGCCCTTTAAATATCAATAAAATTACCAGTAAAAACAGTGTAAGTGCAAAACAAAAACTCTCTAATTATCTAAACTAGGAGAACTCTGGAAAAATATAAAAAAATACAACACCAAAAAACATACAGAATTAAAAAAACGAATTAAAACATTGATTCACAAATATTACACACATCTCCCATTTAAATATAAAAAATTTAAAACATGCAAAAATACTCATGCTATAAAATGTTAAAATCATTAAATGAATGAATGGAAGAATGAATGAATGAATGAATGAATGAATGAATGAATGAATGAAAGAATGAATGAAAGAATGGTAGAATGAATGAATGGAAGAATGAAGCCTGTTTGTTTTAATTTTCAAAAACAACTGCTCGCATCAAGACATTTCCAGAATTTCTTTCTAAAAAACAAACTCTGGCTTTATCCAAAAACAAGAAGAAAGATGGAACTTTCCTCTAAACCATCATCTCTTTACCTAGCAAATTTCCTTTTTATCTTAAATGTTACTCACACAAAACAAAAACACATGACAGCAGAAAATTTCTTATTATATCTCCCAACATTTCTATTTGCCAGTTTTTAAATATATGCAACACATCTTCGTTGACAATTCTACTGGAATGACTGGTGCATCCAAGAGTGATTGTGGCATTGAGACAGCTAGATCCTCATCCTTTCCTCACCCCTCAAGACATAAAACCCCACCCCCCATATCACCCAATCGTTGCTCACACAAACTGTGCGGTGTAACACATAGTGAAATATTGAGACTAACATAGACAACACTCAGATGTGAAAAATTTGATACAAAATGGTCATATCTTAATATATCATAAATTAAAATTTTCTACACAAATAAAAACTGGGATTTCTATAATCTGAATTAAGCTTAGCTATGGTACTTTTATCTAGCATTGGGAAATACAAGCAATGCTATCAAACATCTAGACTATGCTAATTATACAGTGTACAGTGCTAAAATTCATATTATTAGCTGACAGAGCTTGGTTATATCTAATCTTTGGTTTCACTGATTGTGGACCAATCATATGCTGCATTTCAATTCTGAAAAGCACTACAGGTAGCTAAAATTAAGTGATTAGGGAATTGTATCTAAGAATAAAGAGCTCATTGTCATTCTAAGCAAAACAGTTCATAATTATTAGTACTAACACTAATTAAGCTATGTCTATAGGATCAGATACTTCAAATAATGTAACACGATTTTATGGCGTCAAACTTCAACATATGATTTAGAATAATTTTTCACTTTTCAAGATCAATTCAATTTTGTTTTATATATTCCATAATGCAGGGGATAGACGAGTGTATTTTATTGGCTGGTTGCAACGAATTTTAAAATCGTTAAAAAAATTCTCTTAAATGCCTGATCCTGTCAATGACAAGTTTTTATGGCCATACAGATCGGCAGCATAAAAGATGTTAAGATATTTTCGGGCGATTATTTATGCCACTGATTTAATTTGCTCATCTGCCCATGCGTGGCGAAATTTTCTGGGCACCTTATTTCTTAAACCAATCGGCCTTGATTCTGATATCATGTGATGTTCAGATGCTCCGCCATTGTGTACCAATCATGTGGTCTACGGCAAAATTCCAGCTAGTGATATATGATCTAAAATATTCGTTTCGTGTGCCCCTAAATTATCGGGCATAAAAATTCGCTGGCAATTTTTTATCATCACACTCAGGCAAAAAAATATGCTCATCTACTGCTAGCATAATATAAATTGATGATGACAAAGAAAATTTCAAGTTGTATTACATTATTTAATATCCTGGCTATATGGCTGATATAAGATCAGAATAGAATAGAAAACTAAAGATATGACCATTTAGACACTGATTAAGACTATGTGTAAAGACATGTATCTATGTAATATACCAGATGATCAGCGTATATGTTGCCCCATTTACATTGTTTAACGTTTTTTAACACTTGAGGTCGAGATAATACTGGTATGTACTCCTTTAAATGAGACAAAATGTTCATCAAAATTAATTAATAGGGCAAATGCATGGGAAAGAATACCTACTTGGGGATTTCAACAGCCTGATTGAGATAAGAACAAACTTTGTTCCGCTTTTTAAGATAACCACTTCATTTTGGGTCTAAAGACTGGCCCCTGGAACAATAGTCAAAATAACCTTTTGACCTAACCTACGACCCTTGCTTTATCAAATAAAATTCCTTAACTTTCTCACAAAATGCCACCGCTCAAGAAGGCAGAAATTTGATTGGATAAACCAGGGTCATCAAGTTAGGTCAAAAGGTTATTTTGACAAATGTTCAAGAGGCCAGCCTTTAGACCCTAACTAAAGAAAATAAATGCTGATAAAACACGGAACGAAAGTTTGGTCTAATTCTAGGAGTTCCAAAGATGTAAATATTTAAATTTTGTAAGCTTTTGCAGAACCTTTTTTGAAATCCAATATATAGGCGATATAAAAATGAAAAAAAAAAAAAGCATGGCAATGTCCTAAACCTAAATCAGATGATCTTATATGTGTTTTTTTAAAGAGGTTTTTCTAAATATTGGGGTCCGGACATTGATAGCATCAATTCCAATTTTCAGCAAGATGTCTGTTGCTCTGTCAACCCCACTTAAAGAAAAAGGCTTTAAGATGTAGCTTTGGCAAAACCCCTTATGTATTGGACATTATTAGCAGCTTTTGCCAAAGGGACGCCATATGCTGTAAAACATTTCTATAATATAATTACAGGAATCACAGACATTTGATTTTAGATTTTAAATTTCATTTGATTTGCCGTTAATATTCATTGAAAACAAATTCAAATGACCAGGTATAAAAAATAGTACCATATCACATTAGCTGAAATAAAACTGAATTTTTTTTAACTGTTATTAGTAAAAACTTTGGAAAAAAATAAAAGAACTTTGTTAAGTATAACATTCTTAGTAAATTACATGCCTTGAACAAGTCATTCGGTTTGTAAATTTGAACTGTGGAATCCATGCTAAGCTTACTCGAATATCGCGAGTTATGACAGTAGAGTGTTCACGCACGTCAGCGTACTGAAAACTTGTAGCTAGATATTTTGTATAACCCTGTATATAAATTAAAAAAATTGACAATATTTAATTGGCGTCTGATCTATCATCTGAAAACCATAAATTTCATAATCTTTCAACCCTTTGAACACTGAGTGTAATATGAAATATCATTATACCTTGAACTTCATGTAATATGACTGTATGTTTATAACATTAAAAGAATTGTAAAGAGGTTTTCTAAATTTTTCATGTGTATCAGGAACACTGATAGCATCAGTTTGCATCATTCCAATTTTAAGTCAGATATCTGTGGTTCCTGCAATTCAACAAAATATTAGTGTTTTATGATGTCACATATCGCAAAATACGCTTGTATCACATAAGACTTTTGCAATAAATGATGTCATCAAACACTTTAGTTTTAGTGGAATAGCAGGAACCACAGACATCTGATTGAAAAATAGAATGGTGAAAATTGATACTATCAGTGTCCCTGAAACATATAAAATTTTTAGAAAACCTCATTGGTAAGGCTTGCAACTCAGTTCATTCAAATGAGTTAAATTATAAGTAAAAAATGGAGATCGAGTATTCTAGCATTGGGTTAATATTCCATAGACCAATTGGTAGACAGCATCCACCCAGTCCTTTCTTGGTTACAATTTGTGTGGGCATACAAAATTGTTCCTTTTCTTTTTGTCTTAACAATAAGGTTTATGATTGAAGGTTAATATTAGTGGATGATTTCATGATATGATTAAAATCAAAGTAATAAACCAAAACCTGAACCAATCTTAATCACCACAGGAAATAAAGAGTCACCAAGACACGTTATAAATCACCAATAAATAAGTCATTACTGATCACCACTCGATTTTAAATAAAATGTCACCATAAATTGAGGTGTATTCAAAACACTCTGAAGATACTAGGTTACTAGCTAAGTTTACTTGAGTAAAAAAAATTCAAGGACCAACTTGTAGATCCCTGATAAGCCAACTTTATCTTTGATTTAAAGTTAAAAGGATTGTAAAGAGGTCTTTGTAAGTGTATCAGTGACACTGATATCACCAATTTGCACTATTCCAATTTTCAATCAGACGTATGTGGTTCCTGCAATTCCACTTTAACTAAGTGTTTGATGATGTCACATTATATCACATAAGGTCCTTTGTGATATGTGACATCATAAAACACTTAGTTTTAGTGGCATTGCAGGAACCACAGACATCTGATTTTAAAAAGGAATGGTGCAAATTGATGCTTTCAGTGTCCCCGATACACACAAATAATTCAGAAAACCTCTTTACAATCCTTTTAGGAAATAGTCTGATTTCAGAGCTATCTCTGTTATTAAAATGTTCAATATTTTGAATACACCAGATAGATTATAAACTGAATAATAGAGAGATTTGATAGAGTATATAGTATCCAGGCCCATTACTATTATATAAACTGATTTCACTTCACAAATACGTCTAGCCAAGGCTGGAAATAATCTAGCACCCCTTTTCACCCAATTGAACTATTCCGCACATGCAATACTTTATTAAAAATGTGCATGGAATAGTTCAATGTGTTGTCTGTCAAATTATTTCCAGTTTTGAATCAATCTTCATCAATTTCTTAAAACTTGTTGTTTACAGTATACTTCTGTCAAAAGCTCTGATTGGCTGTAATTGCCAGCGTACTATCCAATAGATTTGTTACATTTACAAACTTCATTGATACAAGAAAAGTAACTAATGATGTCAAGGTATTAGACAGAGAACATAATAGCTTGAACTTCTGCAAATGCAGACTCATTGAAACTACATGAACCTTTAAGTTTGAAAACTGCTGATAGCTTCGATTTGAGAAATGTCATCCAGCTAGAGTTATAAGAAATTGATGTATCTGACTGCGGTATTGTGAAGAGTAGAATGGGCAGTATACTATACCGAGCCTGGAATATTAAGGGGGGCCTGATGACTGCTCGTCCACTGGGTATTTTCCACGTGTTTTATTGCTAATGGACGTGATAAAACTTCTACATATTCCTAGAAAATTTGTTATGAACAATATACATGAGTGAATCCAGTTTTAAATAGTATGACACCCCTTGTAGACTACACATGCATTACTTCTGTAAATGTGACACAGTGTGCTTAGTTGAGTTCATTTTCAAAATCAGGGGTGTTTTTTTTTTTCTTTCTTGGGAATGTATCAAATACAAGCCCTCCACTTAATACTGACTTCAGAAATGTAATAAATATATAGATTTTATTTCAATGAAATACCTCACGTAATCAAATTGTAACAATAAAATCTTCTATGAAAAAGATGCTTGAATACCAAAATTATTATTAAAAAAAAATTCAAATTTTCCTTAAAATATTTTAACTTTTTCTTTACTCTGGAATTTTACATAAGATTTTATTTTTGTCATTGAAAACAGCACATTAATATTGACAAAGGCATACCCCCATTTATGAAAATATCAGAATGTAGTGAAGTTTTTATTGTGCCATATCAAATTGAAAGTAAAAATATGCATAATATTGTAAATTGATATAAGATGACCTACCTGAACTCTAGCTCTAATGGCTCCCATAGCAGGGATCTGAGAAAAATAACCTGAAAAAAAAAATAGCCATTCTAGATCAAGTCCTCAAGTTCATTTTGAGAGCTAAGTCCAATTATTTTGTGGGTGCTATAATAATACAAATGTTTAACCCTAAATGACCTTACTACTGCAAAAGCTATATCTACAAGACTTTGTCACAGCTACAACTAGGCTTAGTATGAGTGGAATTTCATGAACTACAGATATTTGACTGAAAATATGAATAAAGCAAATCAATGCTGTCAATGTCCATAATACATTCGAATGTTTCAAAACCCCATTTACAATTCCAGGTAAACTTAAAAGAAGTAGAGAAAGTTTTTACCTCTATTGGCACAAGCCATCCATCTAATAGCATTAGTAGGATTAGCTGTTGGTCCTACAGCATACGTAAATACTCTTACTTCAGCTTTCAACTATAGTAAACATATCAATTATTCATTGAGGGGAATGCATAGGTCAGGATAGGTGTTTTAAAGTAGATAGTGGAAGCACTACAAACGCTACCATTCTTACTGAATTCAACAAGAGATGATCTCTGTCAGATCAGAATGAAAGCATTACTTTGAAATCCTAGTTCAAAACTTGCTGACACTTAGCTAGCCAGAAGCAATAGTTTTCTTTCAGACTCACTACAGTCAAGGATAAATGAAATAAAATGAAATGGAGTTTTACATCCTACTTTTTGCACCGTGTGGGCTAATGAAGACGGGCAACGCCATGCAGAGTACAATGAGGAAATTTTGCCAGGACAGCAGCATTAGCCAACTCTTTTTTGATTTCCAACTGTCGAGGGATCTTTAACATGCATAGCCTGTAGAACACGGGGCCTGATTTTATTGTCCCATCCGAACAACTAGACGCTTTTTCCATGTCAGACCCTTCCACCTGCTTTACCCTCAAGGGGAAATTGAGTCTGCAGCCATGGATAATTTTAACTCTTATCTCCAAAAAACATTTCAATTACATATAATATTAGATAAATTCCTGTTCTAGATATTTACTGATTTATTTTTGGGCCAGTTATACTCTTTAAAAATATCCTCAGCATTGTCTGTACCACCATCAGTTAATAACATAATAACTTTATTACAGGTAGCTCCCATACCATTAGTATTGTTTCTCTCAAACTAAATAAATAATACATAATACTAATACTAATAATAATACTTAATATATACTTGATATAAAGGGGTTTTCTAAATTCTCCATGTGTATCAGGGACACTGATAGCATCAATTTGCACCATTCCAATTCACATCAGGCGTCTGTGGTTCCTGCAATTCCACTAAAACTGAATGTTTGATGACGTCACAAATTGCAAAATATGCTTTATCACATAAGATCAGTGACACAGGCAAGCTCTTAGTTTTAGTGAAATTGCAGGAACTACAGACGTCTGATTGAAAATTGGAATGGTGCAAATTGACGCTATCAGTGTCCTTTAAACACACAAAATCTTTAGAAAATATCTTTACAATCCCTTTAATAATCATAATATGTAGGCCTATGGTAATACTAATAGCAAAATACAGCAGGTTTTAACTGAGATATATTTCATCAAACTTTTGTTGTAGTTTTTAGAATTGCAAGACACACAGACATCTTTAGGGTCCCCTATACATATAATTTCAGTCAAACCTCTTTATATTCTCTTTATTTCACTGAAATGTGTATTTTATCATGTGTCCACCTAATCAGTAAGAATTTATAATTTAATATTAAATGTGTTATTGGTGAAACCAGTTCAATAAACTTACCAATTGAAATTGTTCAAAAGCAAAGCGTAATCCAACTTTAAAATTGGCCATTCCATAGGCTACCAATCCATCTACATCTCTAGCTAGTTTCTATAAGGTTAAATATAACAGTATAAAAGAATAGATCTAGTGGTTAGACAGGAAATCTATCATAGGAGGTTTGAAATGAAATGAATAGAGTTTTACATCCTACTTTTCTGCACCATGTGGGCTAATGAAGGTGGGCAACGCCATACAGGGTGCAATGAGGGAAATTTTGCCAGGACAGCGGTATTAGCGTGCTCTTTTTTTTATTTCCCATCCTAACGACTAGACGCTTTTTCCATGTCAGCCACTCTTACCTAAATCACTGACAGGGGGAAACCAGGTTGAAAAATCGGAAGATATTATCTTGATCTATGCCGTGATTGAATCCTGGACCTTCAGGTTAGCGAGCAAGCACCTAACTATCTGAGCCACCGCGGCTCCCATAAGAGGTTTGAAATTTACCATGGTCCAGGATGAGGAGATTGTTGATAAAGCTAGACAAAGTTCTTGCAAGGAAGAACAGCGATACAGGTTAAAAGTCTGTTTCCAAATCCTGTAAATTCGTCTATGTGAATAAAATATTTTCATTAGAAAAAACAGACTGACCTTTTTGTTTCTATAATTAGCCTGAACAAATGAAGTATGATTAAAACAATCACTAACAAATGAAGCTTCCTGAGAAAACTGAAAAATAAAGGTAATTAACTTGTAAACACACAAGATTGACATTTAATAACTAATAACATCTTTTGATAATGACTGAGAGATGTAAGTGACCATCTAATTCATATCTGGAACTTTTGGGAAGTGTAAACAGCAAAGTGTTTCCTGTTATCCTGTAAGAAATAAATCTGCTAACCATTTCCATTTCCAGAAGTTTAACATCTCTATAGCTATTTAACAATAATTTTGAAAATTTCATGTCTCACTCCAATATCAAAGCTAAGGCCATACAAAATAAATAGTCTGTTTTACAGGACTAAAAATGCCTGATCGTTGCCTTAATATTAAATTAACATTAAATTTGTGGTAATAAATAATAAATGCTTTCACTCGCTCCAATTTATTCCAGTTGAAAATCTAAAAAAGCGCTCATAAATAATAAATACTTAATTCGCCCTCTCACCCCTTTTTTGAAAAAAAAGGCCTGTAAAACAGACTATTTATTTTGTATGGCCTTAGTCATATTAACAATCCTCCTTCAATTACATATCTTGAGGTAATATTGGTGGTGAGCAAAGTTTGAAAGGTGAAACCAATGGTCCAGTGACATTTCAATTGGGGAACTGTGATCTGCCCTACTGCTTGGAAGTTTACCTCACTGGCCTGGTATCTTGCTAGTAGTAAACCGGTTTGTGCATTTTCAAAAGCAAAAACTTACAGAAGCAATATTGACAAAATCATTTTCACCAAGAGTATCTAGAATAGACTTCACAGCAACTTTCATCAACTGCAAGGCTTGACCATGTGTACTTCCACTCCTGTTGAAAAGAAGAATTCATAATAATTTTACTTTCCAGAACATCTTCCTTAACTCTAAAAACAATAGGAGAAAGTTTGAGATGCCAAATGCATGAACATTTATGTTGTTTTCCGGGTTTGATTTGAGTCTTGAATATATGTAAAGTAAATAGGCTTCAGAAGTACTAGAAATGTATGAAAATCATATAATTCTTTAAAATATACTTAAAACTAGGAATTTCACTTTCTATTTCTATATTAGTCTTTTTTATATAGGCCTATAGCAGAGTCTGAAGAAAAAATGAGTGGCATTTTCCGAAAATTCTGGACACACATGGATCTGAAGGCAGTGAGTTTTGAACACTGTTACTGTAAAGCTAAACTAAAAATTCCTGTTTTGATGACTAAAACATATTGCATTTGAGCACAATATTGATACAAAGGAAGAATGTTTAAACTATACTTACGTATCAACTAATATCATCATATCTTTAGGTGAACTTGATCCTTGTGTATACCTTTAAACAAGAATTCAAAGTTTTCAAACACTTCCATCACAAAATCAATTACACGAGTCATACACAGATCATGCTTACTCTTTTCGAAACACCTGATGGTACTTTTCTTTGAACGAACATACAACTTTTACTCCCGATTTTGCCATTCTTAGGATGAGATTTTTGATTGATGGAGTTGCCTTGCTTATACAGATTGTTATTAATAGAAGAATTGACAACATTTATCTATTCACCTGCCAATATCCAATTTTAAAATCAAAACATGGTTAGAAATGGGAATTTTTCCAAGAATTTATCAATAACGTCTAGTCTACAGCAAGTTCAATTACAGTTTCTCTAAGCAACTAGAAGCTCTGAATACAAAAGTCCATACAAATTCTTAATCTATCTTATCAACAATAATAATAGGTCTGTATTATGAAGAAATTTCAAACTTACCAAGACTGGCGTCTTACATCATACAAATCAACATCTCCATGTTTTATCCATCTACTAGCTGAAATTTTAAATTAATAAGTGATCAGGTGAATAAATAACATCAAGTATTGTTAAAATGATTCTCATTCTTGATAAAAGCAACTATGCCTTCTTGGAGGAAAATCACTGCTCAATAAAAGAGTCAATATTGCCAGCATCAAAATCACAAAAAACTGTTAAAATAATAAGCCTACCCTTGGACACATATTTATTTGGTTTCCTTATTTTTTAGTGTCAAATTAAGCAAACTATTTGATTAATTGGTGTTTCTAATGAATTATCATGTATTATTAATCATATCATTATTTTTTTATTGCATATAATTAAGAGTTTCAACCAATCATAAATGTACATGTATGTATATTCTGGATAAAAAAAAACCTTTTTGACCTTTCTTGATCGGTCACTCATTGGAATTCTGCTTGTAATTCTCTTCTAATTTAGCTAATTATGAATTAATTATGGACATGTGAGACAAACTGGAATTTTTCCAAGTCATTAGAACACCTCGGCTTTCAATTCGTGTAAGTATTAAAATTTTCATTTTCATAAATGAATATAAGAGAATCCATCTTTAGGAATAGTAATTTTCTCTTTAAAATGTACCATATTATAAAGATAATGAACAAATAACAAGCTACAGGACAGAAATGATCTTCAAACCTACCAGGAAATGTTCTCATGAAACCAGATTGACTTCCAAAATATTGCCACAATATTTCTTCATCTTCTTCATAATTCTTTTCAAATATTTCATCTAGTGAAGCTGACCATCTTAATCCATTTAATATCTGTATATCTAGTGAGAAATTATAAAGCTTTGATGCATGTCTTATCATTTAACACACCATGTGGATTCAGTGATATGGATTTTTATTAAATATGTCACTTACTCCCGATTTTGATTTTTGAAAAGGGTTCATGTTTCTTTTTCTCTATATTGAGTTTCTTAAAGCCAGTTCCAACAAATAAGTTTGAATAGCCACCATTCTTGTGTCACAGAAGTTTGTTAATGCAGTGATTTAATTGGATTATATGCTAGCAAATACAGCCAATCAGAGTCTTCGATAGAAATTCTGTTATCAATGTTATAATGTTTATAGTCAGTCTGTCGAGGGCTATGATTTGACGTACAATTCAATCAAAAAGGCTACATTCTGTTATACTATAAAGTGGCTATTGAAGTCAAGGTATAAGATGAAAGTCCTAATAGCCTAACATTGTGGAGATGTGGCAGAAGTGCCTCGAGTGGAGTGCTACTCAGTCGTATTAAGACCATGAACATCTTTCTATCTCTAACTGAATAGACATCCTAATAACCCAATGAACTTAATTCAACTACATGTACTCAATATCATTCAGTACAACTCTAGACCAGCATTGATTAAATTACAAGATTTATTACAGATTCTATAATCAAATTTTAATCAAATAGAAAATAAAAAGTCTTCAACACATTCAATGATAAAAATAGCTTCAAGTAGATATATGTTTTCTTTTAACATTTACTGAACTAATAAGATTGGTAATGCAGTGCTCAATGCATACCTATTAGCAAAGGCGTAGGTTGATAAGACAGTGCATGGTAGTTCTGAAGATTTTGAATTATTTATTTTTTAAATATCTTTGGAAACAGAAGCCTCTTAAAAGTTCAAGACATTTTTGATTTTTGAAACATCCTGTTTCAGCAAATTTTAAATACATTTCAACATTAGCCTACATAAATTTTTGAAACAGAATACCCTCCTACATCTTTGAAATCCAAGGAATCTTGACTTGTCTTTTAATTTCATGTTTCTGTGAATTTTAGAAAAGAGCCACTCATAGACACAACCAGGCTATTCCCCTCAACCTCGAAGGAGACTCTGGCCCTGATTTCTAAAAAAATCTTAGGAACAACTTAATATGCAAGCTGTTTCTTGATTTGAAATTCAAGTTTAAGAAAGGTGGGCTTGATCCAGTTCCATCCAAGATACCAGGTAAACAAATAATTCATTGGAACATTATGTTCCTGTTCTGGAAACAAGGGATTATAAATTCAAAGGTACCTACCTCCATTGTAAATTTCAACTGGTATATGAACACTAGATAGATTAAAACTAACATCTTGTTTAAATCTTTCATTATATGCTAATGGTATATCAGTTGGCATGTTGGCATTAAAATATTCTACATCTTCTTTCTATTAATACAGAATGAATGAATGAATGGAAATAAATCAATGAATACATCATTTTTTCATCACCCATACATGATTGAATGCATTCAATGAATGAATGAATGAATGAATGAATGAATGAATGAATGAATGAATGAATGAAAAAACAAAATCAATGAATACATTATCTTTTCATCACTCATGCATGATTGAATGCATTCTGCATTTAAATACTCCACATTCAATTTTTGGATTTGGAATACTGCATAAATGCTATATAAACTAGTGTCCAAAAGAAACGATACCACCTGTTTGCAATGACATAAAAGAAAAACTAAACAATGCAGAAGGTTAGGATTGGTGTTATGCTTTTGAGAAATCCTTTCACAACATCTGTACAAAAATTTCATTTCAATAAAATCTGTACAACCAATATGACAAGCCTTTAAAGATGGGTGGGGTCGAAAAAAGAACATTTCGTTAGAGCACTGATCACAGAAACAACGGGAAATGTCACACCACACGTCACAATGTCAAGTCAGTAGCGGGTATGTCCACCGCTAGCATCAATACATGCCAGAACACGCCTACGGACTGATGCCGTCAAACGTATGATGACGTTGGGAGTGATGCGTTGCCATTCCTCGAGGAAACATCGTTCCAAGTCCTGGACGTTGACTGGAGGCACACGGCGACATCGGATTTGCCGATCGAGGTGGTCCCATAAGTGCTCGATGGGATTCATGTCCGGTGAACATGCGGCCCATGGCAAAACCTGTACGTTGGCGTTGGCAAGGAAGTTCTGTGTCAATCTTGCTGTGTGTGGCCTTGCATTGTCATGTTGGAAACGAGGCTGTTGCTGAATAAAGGGCACCACAACAGGCCATAATGGTTTGGGGTGGCATATGTGGTGACGTCAAAACGAGGCTTTTCGTAATTCGTGGAAACCTGAACGCACAGCGTTATATTGATGACATCCTACGGCCTGTTGTGGTGCCCTTTATTTAGCAACAGCCTCCACCTCGAAACGGCCGGACCTGTTGGATACAGTTAGACGCCAAACGTTCACCAAATCGTCGGTATACAAGCTGCCGTCCATCGTTTTTGAAGATGAGGAATCTGCTCTCATCAGAGAACATAACACGTGCCCAGTCCCGCCGTTGCTAACGTCGAACTCGTCTGGCCCAGATCAGTCTGTTGTTCCGGCATCAGGAGCGGTCCGCAGTAGGGATGACGTGGCCGGATACCATACTGCCGTAGTCTCCTGTAGACGGTCTGTCGACTGATCCTGTGTCCCAGTGCTGTAGCCGCCGTGGATGTCGCTGTTACGGTGCGGTTCCTCAGGTGTAATACCCGAATGTAACGATCTTCACGGGGCGTGGTTACTCGTGGTCTTCCACTCCTGGGCCTGTCTGACGTCTGACCTGTCTGACGTAACCGTTGCATCAACCTGGTGATAGTGATGTGTGCGCAGCCCAACCTTCTGGTGACGTCGACGTGTGTCGCTTTTTGTTGGACCATTCCAACAGCTCTCTCTCTCTCTCTCGATGGCTGTCAAACGTGGCATATCTTGTGTTCTTTTTGTTGCTGTGATATCAACGTGTCTGATCAGCCCTTTTATACAGTTTTTATGCACGTGCAGAACATGCTAGAGAGGGAAATGTCACTTTCATGAAATTTATGTTTTTTCCCGGAAGTGATGACATGTTCCCGGTATTTTTATCGACTATGCTGTGTTTGGGATGTGCAATACGAATTGGCATGTTTTCATATTAGACAATTCACTTAGTAAAAAACAATTTTGAAAATAAGTTGGTATCGTTTCTTTTGGACACTAGTTTATATATGTGCTAGTAAGTTGTGTGTCTATTTATATGAGATCTGATTTGATATTATGGGTTAAAATAATCAGAGCAAATTCTGTATTACCTGCAATGTTTGGTTCCAGGTATGATTTCCTGCTGCTTTCTCTGCTATTTCTACTGATCTCTGTTAAAGACAAATTCACAGAAATAAGAATACAACATTCTCTCACTCTCTGATATCGAGGGAACAAGCCTATTTGAACAAGTAGATTTGTTCTAATGATGACGAAAACACCAGTTTCTCACAAAAAAGTTTTCTTGATTTGACTCTAAAAAAATGAAGAAACCCATCTTTAAACTCATGACCTCATATTATCACAAATTCTCTTGGCAGAGATGTTTCCCATCTTTAATTTATTCAATAATTAAATAATTTCAATTAAATTTACAAACCTTTAAGGCATCCATCTTTTTTCCCAGCATGTGTGATAAACTTAATGACATATCAGACACAATAGATCGACTGTCAACTGGTTCAAAATTAACATGAACATCTGTACCTTGGTTCTGTATTAATGATGCTTGCTGATAATTCTGAAGCAAAAAAAAAACAAAATTTTTAAATCTAAAATCTTTAACCAGATAGCTTCACCATTTTGGGAGGTTGATTTGTGTCTTGAATATAAGTAAATAGTCTTCAGAAATGTACGAAATTGTGAATTCCTTCAAAAATATCTCAAACTAGGAATTCTCTTTCAATTTCTATATATCCCAGAGTCTCAAGAAATGACAAGTTGTCTATTTAACTTTATAACGTGGATGATGCATTTGAAGGCTAAACTTTTCACTGTGAGCTGTGAATGTTATTACTGATTGGCTGGTAATGTTTCATCAAATAATGTTCCTGTCTTTGCAAAACTTTTTGCATGGCTTCTCTTAAATATTTTGCATAATCAAATGCAGAAAAGGATCTAGATCTAAAAATTTGATTTGCAATTTTTCACAGAAAATTCAGTTTTGGTTAAGTAAGAATTACAATTCTCATTTCATAAAAATTACGTAGCAATTCTTTCTGGTTGTATTTTGCTAAGATTAACCTTGATGTAGTTAAGAAGAACATAAAACTCAATCAGATATATTAAATATATTAATTGTGTCACTGTAAATATGAATTGAGAAGTAATCTATCTCAATAAGAGGTGAAATGGTGGGTAGCCAGACATAAAACCACCATCCAATCAAAATGTCTTAAACCATTCCTACAAATGTCAAATCAATATGTATATTCTACGCCAGGGAATTGGCCTTTTAGCTCGGCAGTATAATAAGACAATTAATTGAAGGGAAGTAATTCCCTCAGGAACTATTTACTGCTTGATTCTATAGAATTAAGGTTTGATTTTCAGGAATTAGTGACAGTAATAGAGTGTTTACTGTATACAAATGACTTACGAAATGTGACATATAATAAGTGTTACACTTGACTAGCAGTACCATCTATTACTAAATTTCTTAACTTAAAGTTTGTCATTTTTGTTAGAATTTTAAAATTCTAATAGCATCAATTTGCACCATTCCAAAATTCAATCAGATGTCTGTGGTTCCTGAAATTCCACTAAAACTAAGTATTTGATGATTGAAAATTGGAATGGTGCAAATTGATGCTATCAGTGTCCCTTATTGACATAAATGAAGAGTGTAATTTCAGAAGACTACAAGACATGTGATATACTGGGATGATACAAGACATGTATGCCTGGAAGACTACAAGATATGTGATAGAATGGATTGATACAAGACATGTAGTCCTAGAAGACTACAAGACATTTGACATAATGGGATGATACAAGAAATGTATTTCTGGAAGCCTAGAAGACTACAAAACATCTGATAGAATGGAATGATACAACTACAAGACATGTGACAGAATGGCATGATACAAGACATGTAGTCCTAGAAGACTACAAGACATTTGATATAATGGAGTGATACAAGACATGGTATATACTGAGATGATACAAGACATGTTGTTCTAGAAGACTACAAGACATGTGATGGAATGATACAACTACAAGACATGTGACAGAATGGCACCATACAAGAAATGTAGTTCTAGAAGACTACAAGACATGTAGTTCTAGAAGATTACAAGACATGATAGAATGGAATCATACAAGACATGTAGTTCTAGAAGACTACAAGACGTGATAGAATGGAATTATACAATGACGAGTGCAGTTCTAGTAATCTTTGATTGATTCTCGTGTAAAACTTATTGATCCAAACATAATGTTTTTTTTATAGTTCCTTTACTAACAAGAGGCGAATCATTTATACTTGTACAACAATTATTGATGGTTTCAATACTGTCATTAGAACCTAACAAATAACACATCATTGTTACTACTACAACTTTTCTTCATTCAATAGGTTGTAATTTGTTGAAATATTTTACTGTTGAAGATCGATTGCCTATTTATGAGAGCAAATTACTGAAATGAAATGGAGTGTTAACCCTTTATGGGATATGATATCAGCTATGAAGTTGGGCAATGAGGGAAACTTTTGATTTCCATCTGTTAAAGGATCTTAAGCGTGAGCAGTCTGTTGAACACGAAACTTCACTTAAATGTCCCTTCTGATGACTTGATGCTTCTACCATATCAGTCCCTCCAAACCTACATCACTGACCCGGGAAACCAGGTTGAAAAATCCCTGGACCCTGGACCTTCAGCTTAGCCAGCAAGTGTTTAAACTCACCCTAGCTCCTGCTTTTTGAGAGCAGGTTATTGAAAAATTATGTACAAGTAGGTCATGTATTCATGCTCCAAGTAAATAAATCACTGCATCCTTTGAAGACTCAAAATCAAAATTTATGTTGCCAGATTAAATATTTCCCTTGCCAAGGCAATGCTGGCAACTCATATCACATAAACACTCGTTTAATATCTTAATTATTGACATATATACAACTGAAATGCCAAATCTATATTCAGTATTGAGAATTAATATCTAGAAACCATTAATATAAGATGTCTGCAATAATTTCAATGAAATATGTAAAACACAATTTGAATAGAATATTGATTGTTAAACCACTGACAGTTTTATTACATTTATTGGTTGAATACTTGAAAACAATTTGTTATCATTCAAATTAAATTGAAATAAATAGAAATGTTTTTCCATTTGTTGCAAAAAATATCAGAGCAATAAAGAAAAATGGAATTACATTAAAGGGAGAGATTTTTGGAAGTTGATTTGGGTCTTGAATATATGTTAATAGTCTTTGGACATACTAGGAATGTCGAAAATCCTTCAAAAATACCTCAAACTAGGAATTTCACTTTCCATTTGTATATATGTCTTTTCTATATATCTTAGTCTCAAGAAAAGATGAGTCGTCATTTTTTAACTTTCCAACATAGATAATTCTAGACATACAAGGATTTGACAGTGAGCTGTGAACACTATTCCTGATTAGCTTAGCTAAAACAATTCCTGTTTTTGAGAAAAAGGTACGATTGGTAATAAAAAATGGCAAACCTGTCTCTTTAAATCTCTATAATCTGTATACCTGGCTACAATTGCATTATTTACAAACTTGACAAATAAGATAAAATTGAAATACTGAAAACTCACCAATTGAAGTATATTCAGAGCTGATAATCTGGAGACAGTAAAATTTAAATGTGTACTTAATTCCACACCCCATTCTGATACTCTACAAAATAAACACAATAATATTGTTAAATCATAGTTAGCCTTTCTTTCATTCACAAATCATACTTAGGACTATTTGTTACTGCAGTCCGACCACAATATTGTGTGCCTGATAGTATTTGCCAATATTTTTTGTCAACCTCAAAATATCAAAGAGACTGTCTGATCAAAAAGAATTGAAGCCTGGACCTTAGCAATCCAGTATCTAACTCACTAAGCCACTACAGTACCCTAAGGAATTTAAAGAGCAAAACATTATCCTGTATTCCTGGGATGTATAGAGACGTTTTATAAACTAGCCTTTAATTTAATGGGATTTTAAAGAGATTTTCTAACTTTTCTATTTGTATGGGGGACACTGATAACATCAATTTGCACCTTTTTTTAATTTTCAATTACATGTGTAGGCCTATTGCTCTTGCTTGATGACTTCACTGATCGCAAAATATGCTTTATCACATAAGGACCTTCACGATTAGTGACTTTATCAAGCACTTAGTTTTAGTGAAATTGCAGGAACCACAGACATCTATTTGAAAATTAGTATGGTGCAAATTGACATAAAGAATTTAGAAAACCTCTGTACAATCTCTTTATTGTCACTATCTTTTTTCCGAGTTCATGCCAATTTAGTGCAAAGGGCACTAGCACATGTCTTAAAGGGATTGTAAAGAGGCTTTCTAAAGTTTTTATGGTCCACACACACCTGACAGAAACTTTAAATGGTACAAATAGAATCCATAATTGAGAAAAAAGTTTAGAAAACCTTAATACAACCCCCAGAGATACTGAAGTGTATGCTGTTGAAGAATCAAATTTTACACCTTCTATTTCTGCACAACTTCATCTTATGATGATAATTAAATGTCCCAAGATAATATTCTCAGACAGGAATGTTATTAGAAAGACATACAATATTCCTACATGGTTTCAAGCATGATCTATAATGTCTGTAATAGAACTTTAGTACCTCCAGGCAAGACCTAACTAACATGTTGTGATTGTTTATTGATTTTTACCAACTTCAATTACAAAATATAATTACTTTACATGTTCTTTGTCATTCCTGATTATCTAACATCAAACACTGTTGAACATTGACAGAGTACCTACACTGTTCAACATTGACAGAGTACCAACACTGTTCAACATTGACCGAGTATTGTTTAGTTTATCAAATTGTAACTTTAAGAATCGTTGCAGCCCTAGTATTCAGGTAGTACCGTAAAATACATATGAGGGGAGGATTCAGTGGTGGTGACAGCCTCCCGAGAAATAGGGGGCAGATTGGCTCAATGGGGGGGGACAGACTATTGGGCCTGAACTCAAAATGAGGCAAAATTGAATTTATTTGGTGCATTCTGACACATAATTTGTTCAAAAACGTAACAATAACATATATAATTCAATTTGTTAAAAAATATTGCCCATTTCTTGATCTTATGAGAATTTGAGTACGAGATATTGTTAGAAAATGAAATAGCACAAAATGAGTATAAAAGTCAAGACTCTTCAGCACCAGTTTTGATATAATCACATTGGACTGAGACATATTTTTTTGACCTAATCAAAAAAAATTTGAAAAAATTCTTCACAAATCCAAACTTCCATATTACTACAATCCAATTCACATCAAAAATAATCAGCAAAATTTGAATAACTGAATAAAGTAAGAAGATATTATGTTAAATTATCAGACACTGTAAGTTTTACCACATTTGTACCTTTATAATATGATGAAATTAAATATTATTTATACATACACCTATTAGAATATTATAAACACAAAATGTCTAGTGGTTCAGTTTCAAAAAATTTTACAGGCTTTGCATCTTAAAGATTCCTAAATATTTGGATATCTTAATAAAATAGACTAATGCTGCTGTCCATGCAAATTTTCCAAATTGCACTCTACAAGGTGATGCACGTTAGGCCAATTAGGTGCAGGAAAGTAGGACATTATCTCTAATGTTTTTTCCATTTATAATTAGGACCACAATATTGATTATATTAAATGGCATGAGCTATATATAAGAATATGTCAGCATATGAGTAAATAGCAGAAATATACCAAAAAATATTCTTTCACAGATATCATGACTATCAAATATACAGGGGAAAAATTCAACATTTTGTATGGACATAAATATATACTTTGGATAGTGAAGGGTTTTTCAACCTTTATCTTTCTATTACCCCTTTTAGTAGTAACCCAGGCGATTACATTACAGCCCTTTGCCCAATAAATCATTACAATTTTAGGTTTTCCCTGAAATCATTTTCATGTCAGATATTGTAGTCTGACTAAATTTATAATTGACCAAAAATTGTATGCAAGACTTCAAAGCACCTCAACACTCCTAAAAATTACCCCATGTCAAAATCCCTGGGATAGGGTATACTGGAATATATTACATAAGCTAAAAAAAACTTATATCCAAACAAAATTACTTAGATTTCATGAATATGATTAGATGCATTAAATGGGCATAAAAAAATGTAAAGTAAACCCTAGTTCCAAACAAGCTTTCCTCATGATCATTTTATATCTATAGCATGTATTACTGGCAACAATTAGTATATTGGTGGTAGGCCTACATATTAAAGACCATGGTTCGAAATATCCCAGGGTTGATTTGGATTTTGAATATATGTAAATAGTCTTCACAAGTACTAGTAATGTATGAAAATTGCATGATTCCTTCAAAACTATCTCAATCTAGAATTTCACTATCTATTTCTAAAAACGTCTTTTCTATATGTGACAGACTCCCAAGAAAAGACAAGTTATCATTTTCGATTTCAAAAGCGGATAATTCTAGGCAAACATTGATTTAAGTCTCAAAATTGAACGGTGAGCTGTGAACACTATTACTGAAAAGCTTAGCAAACAAAAAATTCCTTATTTAGACTAAGGTACGATTGCTATAAAGAATGGCCAAACTGTCTCTTTAAGCTTCATAATATCATATTCATTATGGTTAATATACTTAAACTTCAAATATACTTTCATAGGCTATACTATGACTAAATCAATATAAGCACAGGATATATACAGCAATTTCATAATAATATTTCAAATTAGACCTCTATAACAGCATGGAAATACGAACTTGTTACACTTTGTAGTATATGCCTTGCCCATATTAATCAACAATACATACATAGATTCAATACATAATAATCATCTATAGATATATACCAGTAATGCAATATACAATATTGAATAATTCCAGATTTACTGAAATTCCACTAGTATACATCGAGTATTTCTACTCTACAGACGATCCGCTTTTCATCCAGACACACAAAATAAAATCGTCACTTACTGATCCAAACTCGGCGGTAATTTTGAGCAATTTACGACAGAAATAAGCACCGAAATCACACATATAGAATACATTTCAAGCAGTCGATATTTTTTTCTGACGGCCATGATTGCTCTGGTAGTTCCAGCCTCGTTCCAGTCATAGAGAAATCACAGCGCCATCTCGTGTTGAAATCAGACTGGCACCATCTGATACAGTCTCAACATAGAAACAACCATTGAAACAAGAAAAGTTCTCTGTGACATTTAGTATCCATATTTGGTGGTCTATAATATGTAATATATCGGCATTGTACATCATTCGACCTTCAGTTTAATCCTTTCCATTTTCAGTGTAATAACGACTATTGTATGTTAAAAACAAAATGACACGCGCCGATAAACTACTACTCCAATTGCATTATATGGTGGCTACTGTCATCGTGACTACATCTGAAAGCTAAGATAGAGATCGTAATTATATCGATTGTCTACTGCTGTTAGGCTACGAATGATAATTAATTGTTTTATGTACATTCTTTGCTTAATGGGTTCGATATTATACTTTATATTATTGGCTTATATACTAATTTCGATTGTTCAAGTAAAAGAGTACCTTCTTATGCAGTGGCGGCGTCAGTGGACGTAGCTGGGAATTTGTCCACCCGACTTAGATACGTTATACCCGAAAATATGTGTCAAAATCACCTCTATTTTTCAAATTTCTTGGCACCGCCATTGTTCATTATGTCGGCTACTTTTCTATTCTATTCATCATTATTACATTCAGTGCTTATGGCGTAAAGCTTCCATGATTTATGTGTTGTAATTGTAGCAAAATATTCTGGCCCGGTGTAGACAGAAAGAATGTAGGTTTTTGTCATATCATATATACACGCGCAGTCTTTCTGTCGAGGGCTCTGATTGGCTGTATTCGCTAGCGTACAATCCAATCAGATTGCTACATTTACAAACTTCCTTATGTGTCCAGGTAACACTTTCTAGGTTAGGTTACCGATGAAAATGTAGTAAAATGGATGTATAAGTATTTTTCCCTCTTAAAAATCAACAGCTCATAAGCTTTGGTCGTGTC